GCGCCAGATTCAGACAGACGAGTCCAATCACTTTAAATGTCGTTTAATAATCCAATGTTTTGGGAATCATGTTGAAGTGGTGTGGAGGTTAAAGGGCATCGAGCCTCCATAGCTTCAGGCGCTCTCTCCTTTAGTTTCATCATGAATCATTTTTAGTGATATGAAACTGATGGGAGTTTCTGCTGAGTGAAATGAAGGAACCTTCATCCAGGAAGAAAACATCTCCTTCACCGAGTGGCGACAGTCTTCATGGTTTTCTCTTTTCTGTAAATATTCTCATACGTTTTCTTCCACCCATACATGCAGCTCTGGTTTCACAGCATCACTGCACTAACAGTAAAGACAGTTTTATTTTCAGCGGGATTCCTGCCGACTCCAACTGTTCCAGGAAATTAACTGCATGGATGTGCTGATGAAAAAAATCCTCATCCCGTTCTCATACCCATTCTGATGTTTTTGTGATGAAACAGTGAGTAGCCAAACAAAAACAAGGCAAAGTCGTCCATTGGCCATGAAGCTCAGTAAAGAAAAGGAATCAAAGCTCTGCAGAGCAAACCGAGCAGCTTCCTGTAAAACCGGGATGAAGGCAGAGAGGGAGGATGAGGAGGAGGATGAGGTTGACCGAGCGTCAGGCCTCGTAAACTTGTCTATGCCCTTTATATAAATGTGGTCGGAAGAAAGGGGCGACGGCGGATTTTAACCTTTTTCTTAAATGCAACAAATAATCTCAGTTGGAGAAGAAGCAGGAAGCGTTTAATGCTGAGATATTTTATTTTGAAATCCGCTTGTATGAAAATCCTTCAAAAAAGGGACAAACAGAAAAGTCGAGTTTATCTTTGGATGAACTTCATTTTTATGGGTTCAGTTTAAAAGGCGAGAGGTTGATGTCTTTCCTCCTGACCGTTTCTCTCAGCAGCATCAACTGAATCAATAAACCAAAACCTTTTTCTCCTGTGGCTCAACCAGAAAGTTTACATTAATTACGTTCTGCCACCTGCCCCAGAAAAACCAGCAGCTCGTTCCCACAAAACCCAGCTGGAAGCAGCGTTACATCAGAGACACATTAATAAGACAAATTATGTTTTTAAGGCTTTTTCTTCTCTGGCGAAACAGTTCATCCTCTTATCCCGTAGCTTATAAAATAGTCAACAGATCATTCATGTTTGAGAACTGCTGCACTTTGAGTGCATAAAGTTGATCCAAAAGTCCAGTTTGCGTTGATATTTCTGTTCTAGTGTCAGAGGAAACCGGGTCAGAGCCACCGATGCCACCTGCCAGCGACTGTCACATTTCATTGAACGTGTCATTTCCTTTCTGCTCAGTGATGCTGCATGGTTGGTTGTTATACATTAATGACTTAGTAACATCTGCATAGCAAGTTCCTGACTCCAAACATTGGAAAATAAAACTTGGCAGGAAAGTGATGAGCTGTAACATTGCTTCATGGAAGAAAAAGAAATAACAATCAGATTAACCCTGATCTTCTCTGTGGATCAACGCCCTGCTGTCCTGAAAGCGCAGTCTCTTTGGGGAAACATCCAAATCCACTCTTATTTTTCAACTTTATGCTTCACTGTCTTGTCTCGTCGTTCCACTGTCCTCCAGTGGATTGATCACAGTAAAACGTAGAGATGAATGTCTCAAATGCACCGAGAAGAACCAGAACAAGAACTCGCATGTGTGATCAATACCTTTGAGATGGGATTTCTGCGTATTTCTTGATGTATAAATCATAATCACTGCGGTGGGAAGGAACATTCACTTAGTTTTAGTTAAGATGTTGAAAGATTGATGAGCTTCAGGGTCATGTTGTTGCCAGATGAAGGTCATATCAGGCCTGACATGATGAACAAACTAGAAACTTTCCTTTTCCAATAAAAGAATCCTTCACCTGATTACTGGAGGAAAATCTCACCATCCTGCTGATGGAAATTGCAGTTTTCTGGTCGATTACATGCTTATATTAGTGCTTATTTGTTGAATATTTGCAAATTGTTCAATAAATTCACTTTTCAAACTGAAACTTTCTTTAAAAGTGGCTCTAAGTTCTGAGGAAATGGAGATGCCATAAAAAAACATAAATCTTCAAAATAAGAGCATGAATATTAATACTTATCTAAAACTTTAATGCAGAAAATAGTCAACTAAACATTGGCTATAAAGCAACAAAAATTTGCATTGGTGTTTATGTGGAAATTTATTGGAAGCTCAATGTTTCCAGCAGCAGCGCTAAACAAATGATCATCTCTGCTAATGCGTTAGCTAATGCGTTAGCATATTAGCATAGCTGGATCCTGTTGTCAGGCTCCACATTGTTCCTTGTTTTACTGCATTTCTTCATCCTGACGGATTAAAGTTCAGCTGCAGATCAATTTCCCATTTCTGGGTTTTATTTTTCTGGACGGTCCACAAGTTCAACTCACTTCAACACATTCCTCAGGTTTTTCCCAAAGTGTAGAACAATAAGCCTGAGTGAACCTCAGGTCACTCAGGTAGCAAAATCCCTGCTACTTAAATATAAGACAGATGGACTTATTTATAGTGTTTGAAGAATTTTGCATTACTCTGATCTGGAGAGCAGACATTCTTGCAATGACAACTTTTCCTTTTCACCTGTGAGTTATTATTGCACGATAATAAATCTAACATTATAATCGTTAGATCTCAGAGATTTCAAGAACACACTGAAAATCCTCGTCCGGCCTCAGGAACAAGTCCGCTCGTCGTTTCCAAACCACACACTTTAATCTGCATTCTGTGGCAGCAGAATCCCTGTCAGCAGTGAAGAGAGCGAAACCAATGAAACCTGAGCGTTCCTGGGTTTGTACTCGCTGAGTGGGTGTCAACCACCTCATCTCCATACACCGTATGATAAATGATCTCTGCGCTCTTGTGTTTTCCCTCCTTCGACTTCTGGCACATGGAGCAGCGACAGGGTTCACACATTTTTTGCATTTGTGACCTGACCGCATGTTTGATAAATCCCAGCGCTGAGAGTTAGCAAAGAGGTGAACACAAGGTGGAAAGAAAACAGAAAATGTTACCGAACACACGAGTCTGGGGATGTTTGTCTCGTTTGCTGCTGAGGATGGAGGCTGCAGCTGATCAGCCTGATCAATAACAGAAATTATTTCCTCTTTTAAACCTGACTGAAGTGGCTTTCTGGAATCTTTTAAGGTTTTTTTCAATTGCAGTATCAATTGGTTGATTTTTGAAGATTGTGCCACAGATTGTCCATCGTAGGGTGTGATGGCGTTTAATAAATGCTCAGTTCAAGTTAAACATCACTGTAGCAACCAGTGACTTGGCGTTAGATTATATGCACGATCATGAAGAGAGTTTTAATTTCTTTTATCTAATTACTATCATAAAAAATCTTTTAAAAGTTTTATGTTTTAAGGATCTTTTAGGATTTAAGATTTATTAGATTGCTTTAAATAAATGTCTTTAAATTCTATTACAGAATTATTTGAATTAACTATTTTGCTGATACTGAATATTAACATGAATCATTAAAAGCATTTCAGGTTCTATGCACCACAAATCTGGAACAATCTTCAGAAAACTGCAAAACAGCTGAAACGCCGAGTTCCTTTAAAAACTCACCTGCTTTTGAACTTTAATAAATGAAACATTGACAATTGATGATGTCACTGATCAAAATGTTCTGATTTTGTCATGGTGTTGCCTGTATGTTTTTTTATGTTTGTGTTTTATGATGCGAAGCACTTTGAGCTGCTGAAATGTGCATTATAAATAAACTTGACTGATTGATAAACCATAAATAAAATTCCTCATTTTGATTGGCTGAAGATGAGCTCTACAGAACACCACTTATGGTTTTATAAACCCTATTTTTAAAAGATGATCAATTAAGTTTCCTTTAACACACATTTATATTTTGAATTAGAAGGTAATATTTAAACCTCACTTATTCGTAATGAAGTGTTTTGGCCCCCAGTCTAACAGGACGGCCAGCCCAAGTCTCTCTGGCTTTTATTTTGTGAGCTGATGAATAAATTCCTTCACCATGCTGGGAAAAAGAAAGAAAGAGCGACCCGTGGTTTCTGATGGTCGGTGAAACGATTCCATGACCTCATGGTGAACTCTGCTGTTGCCAGAACCGGTGGGTCAAGATCCAAAGACGATTGTGTGGTTAACCATGAGAGACCAACTGTGTATTCAACAAAAAGTATTGAGAAAGTTCAAAAAGCATCACAGAAGAAACACCAAGGTCCAAAATCAGGTGAAATAAAGACAGAAATAAGGAGAACTGAGTGAGTCAGACGTTAAGGTTAGAGTTAAGGTTAGGTTAGGGTTAGGTTAGGGTTAGGGTTAGGCAGGCTGGGATCAGGACCATCAGATGCCACCGTTCACAATCACAGCTGCTTTCTGAAACAAACATAACAAACATCTTTCAGAGCTGTTTTCTTCAGGGTTTTACTGCAAGATTATTCTTCATTGTAGGAAAATAAATTAGGCCTCTTGATTGGCTGGCTTTCAAAGGTGAAGCATTGTGCCAAGCTAATTTTAGTTCAGAATATAAAATGATCAGTGAATAGAAGAAAACTGAACCTGAAATAGTCGGGGGTCTCCATAGCGAAATTAAATATCCATAACCATTATTTTTAATGCTGTTTTTGCGGCCAAAGCTGCAGGGCGATGTTATTCTGTTCCCAGTTATCAGACTTCAGGAAAAGGTTTCAATGTGAATATTTGGCTTATTTGGTAAAAGTCATAGAAAAGCAGAACATGACCCTGTTTAAGGTACCACTAGCTAAAACCGCTGCCAACACACAGAGGCACCTGGATGGGATTTCACTTGTGGTGCTGAAACTTTTACAATTTTCCCCAAAAACAATGTTCTTGGGTTTCCCAGCCCTTGTGTAAAACCTCTTCCAGTGGGAAATAGCAGAAAATGTGGCCCTCTGAGAAGGGCGAAATGAACCTTTAATTCTCAGGGACTGCGGTCAATGTTTAAGCCAAAGACATAAAACAGGTTCCTGATTAATTGAGTTTATTTATTCCTTCTGCCTCATAGACACTGAAAATGACAAGAAAAAGAGCTTTTATGTGCAGCTCTGTGGAAAACTCCCCATTGATAACTCATTTTTTAGACTTTAGAGCAGAGACATCACCGTTTTTCACCCTAAAATGTTTCTTTCCATGTTCAAGCTGCCAGACTTAAAACTAACCTGGCAGGAAAAACTGATTGAGCCTCCATCTGCGGTTGGTCGAGTTTCTTTTTGCATTTCTCAAATGTAAAATGAAGCAGCATTAAGGTGAAAAAAGTCTGCTTATGTAACAAGGAAGTGTGTTTATTTAATCTTCTCCCAAACAGCTGCAGAGAGAAATCAAAGATGCAAAACACAGATCAGTTTCCTAAAAACACAAAAATCTAATCTGAACCAAACGTGATGCTAAGCTTTATGATGCAGAGAAAATCTGTTTGGTCTTTCCCGTCTCATCCGCTCTCCTGTGCGCTCGGAGCTTCACAACGATCCGGCCTGCAGCGTTTCTGCATCCACAGATCTCATGGCCACAGAAAGAGGCACATCGAACAGAGAGATAACTATTTACAGAGGACATGGCTCCACAAACATCACAGTATTAAAAAAGACAACAGAACATAACAGCCCATTTTTCTCCGACCCGACTCCGACTCTTTCCCTTTTTTTACAGTCCGGCGGTTATATGATACAGTAGAATCGCATCAGCGTCTCTGACCACCGTGTAGCTCCAAACTGAAGCACCTCATCATCCTGGAGACGCGTGGATGTGAAAAACTGGGTGGTTTTATGGGTCATTTTTAACCTAAGGTTTGTTCCTGTGACTTGACATGTCTCAAACTGATTCCAGAAGGGATTTTGTGTTCTGCAGAGTCTGCAAAATATTATTTGGTTCTAATTCAGTAAGCAAGATTGATCCAAAGTATTCTGTGCAATTGGAGCTGCATGCTGCAGGCAGAAGCTAAATCAAACTGTTGCAATGTTTTGCTCTTTATAGCTTATTCTGTGTGTAGAAACAGATGATTAAAGTGATGAGTAGCATTTAATTGGAAAAGGATTTTGTCTGCTTGAGCAGCAGCAGAGCCTCAATGCTGAATGAATTCAGTTTCATGACATCCAGGAGGCATTGTGTGGTCACTGCCAGATGTTTCCATAACACTTGAAAACAGAAAATAATTTATACAATACGTAAATATGTCACCATATTAACCACTGCTTAGCTCTCAACCACTCAGGAAATACAGAAAAGTTTTTTGTATTATAGCTGCAATAGTAAAACACATGCAGTCAAAAATGACCAGCAATATTTTGGGTTATTTAGTCAATAAATAATTTCATCATGTTATGCATTCATTTATAAATGTCACAGCTTCAAATCAAATATACCGAGTTAGATATTCAGTTTACCATCAACATATTTAAAGTCACACTAAATATTTAGCTCACAGGTGGTTTAATATTTAGCCTTCTCTCTATTAGCTAGTTGTTTACATGCTATCTGGTTAGCACAGCTAAATATTCAGCTGATATATGGAATATCAAAATAAAAGCTGGGTCTTGTGAACCTCTAGAACAATCAGTGAACTTAATGTGGCTTATTTGTTTTAAGGTGAAATGTTGAATAAGAACAAGAAGAAAACATAATAAAGTGACATGAAGGCTTGTGAAATTATTAGTCCACTTCTACTCATCACTCAGTCTAACGAAGCTTTTACCTCCAAAACTAAATGCTTAGTCTGAAGTTAAATACTTAATCAGCAAGATACATATTTATTTAGAAGCTAACTACTTAGCCTGTTTAGTAAATACTTAAAGCTAAATACTTAGCTTGCTGAACATTTTGTTGGGATTTACATATTTAGTTGTTTGACTAAATATTTAGTGTTCTAATTAAATGTTTAGTTTTAAACAGTGAACATGTGAATGAAATCATTTTTTTCTCCAGTTTTATAAACCAAATTGTTGCTGTTCGTTTTTGACAGTGTTGCTTTACAAACGACACCATAACAAAATATCTTACATGTTCAGAATGTGGTTTAAATCAGTGAAGCTGCTGCAGGATTGTTGTTTCTTCTGACAATATGATTTATAATCTTTTATTGATAATGTAAGTGAAGAATGTCTAAATGGACATGACTAATTGAGGTCTAGATATATTTTCATAATTCATGTTCTCAGTCTCATCTCAGTTAGATTTATGTAAATATATATTAAGTTTGAAGTCCACCACCAATAACCACCAGGAAAGACCCTCCATGCAAAACCACTGAGCATTTTGAAAAACTTTATTTTTGTTTCTTAGGGTTTGCAGTTGTGTGCAAAGTTATAATTTTTAATAATCTATTTTGCAACAACCAGTCGTTTCTCTGCCCATGAGACATTTTGTTCTGCTCATCAGAAAATCTTCTGGGTTGCAGTGAAGCTGGAATTATTGATTATTGATCAGTACTGATTCTGTTATAATTTATAGAAATCTTGAGGACAGGACTAGATTTTAATGTCACTGATTTTGTTTTAATGAGTTGAGCTTGAACAAATTTCTCGACCTAAATGATTTCCACACTGTAAAACTCCAACTACTTATACAATACCAAAGTAACACATATAACACAAGAAAACAATAAAATAAAACATGTTCCTTAAGACTGTAGGAGCGTTACAGGACGGCGGAAAGACTGATCCATTTTCCCGGGTGGAAAAGGAAACGTTCCAGAAGACGTTCTCGGTCAGATCTGCAAAGATTCCCCAAGCTCCATGAAACTGAAAACAATCTCCTCTGGGTGGCAACAACAGAAAAACCTTAAACGCCTGAAGATGTTCCAGAATGAGACGCATCCCAGGCTGAAAGCGGGTCGTGAATATTTACAAAGAGAAAAGGTCTTCCAGAACCTGGAGATGCAGCTCTAGAGCCGGGTGCAGTTGGCAAAACTGTCGGACATGATGATGTTTTTGTAGAAGTTGTCGGTGCGAGTGGAGCAGTAATCTCTCACCTTGTCAATCATCTGACTGACAGGGAGGATGGAGGAGGAGGAGGAGGAAGAGGAGTTGGGCTCCACATCTGAGGAGGAAGAGGAAGAGGAGACGCACTTGGGGCTGGTCTGGTTGGAGAAACATTTGTCTGCAGAAAAAGATGGAAACAAGACAGTAAGAAGGCAAATGTAAAACCAGAGCAGCGAGAACCACAAACCTCAAATAAATGTTGAATTTAAAGAGTTACTACACTAAAAAAAACACATCACGCTCTAAACTACAATAAATTCAAAATCAACCCCCCGACCACCCATGAAGAGCTTCCAGCAGGAAATAACTTTCCCACTGGGATTCACTGTTATTCAAGAAAACTACAGCCAATCAAATCTCATCTAGGAGGCAGATAACCTTTGTTTTTCACATGCATCATGTTTCTGCCTGCTTTCTGCTGGTTAGCGTCCCAGACTCATGCAATTCCTCAGACCACCAGGTAAAGAGAGAAACACGTAAAAACCACCAGTTAGTCTGAATACTAACCAGAAACCAGAGAAAACTGCTAACATGCTGGTCTTTAAGTGAAACACTGTGGATCAGACTCAGACACAAGAGGCAGAGAAAAAACGTTCAGCAATATCAGATCTGCATGTTGAACGTGACATAATCTGTCGAGCATCTTTCAACCCATCGGACTAAAAACAAGCTCATGTATCTTGAAGACACACGTTAGTTACTTTTGAGTCATTTCAAGTGAGATATTTGCACTAAAAACTAAATCAAAATACTTAGTAAGACTTTGTGTTTTTGCAGCACATCCTTCCTTCATTTTCTTAATTTCTTCCATAAAAGTGTCAGTAAATAACGACAAGTTTGTGGAGCTGATTGTGTTTTTTTATGTTGATCATAACTCAAACCTCAAATCTGACATGTTGCATAAGGGGCGTTGTTGGTTTAACCCACATAAACCACATTAGAAAGCAAACCTGTACGTCTCGCTTGAAAGTTTGATTTGTTTGTCCATCAGGATAAATGGATAAATGGCGACTGGCATTTGACAACTGGCCAAGTAAAAGCTGACCAGCTTAGCGCACACCAGTTTGGTTTCTGCCGTTCTTTGGAAAACATTCCTTCTGAATGTGGCTTGTTGGTTTGAAACCTTTATTTTTCCAGAAAGGTTCAATCCTGAAAGGTTTTGGGGGCAGCAGATGAAACAACCGAGCCAAGGGAAGCAGGCCTGTGTCATGTCAAAGCTCATATTTGCTTTTCATTCTCCAGCTCCCAGAGCCTGTGCTGTACAGAGACAGAGGGATTACACCTCGGCCCCTCCAGGCAGGATGGGAAGCAGAGGACGGGTGTACATCATCAACCTGGAGTGTCAGAGGAATAAATCACTCTGCTGAACAGTTCTGATCAAACCGCCAGTAAAAACATGAGGAAACTGTTTTGAAACAGAATCTTTAATTCTTGTGAAAACCTTCAGAGCTTCTTTTTGTCTGAAGGAATGTTTTCAGCTCCACACAACACAGCTGGGATGAGAGTTCATTTCTGAAGCTAACAGACCGTTTCTACCATCAGACAGACATGGAAATATTCTGAATATTTGCAATCACTTCTACAGAGTTTGATTAGAAACACAGAAATGGAAATTATGTGGGGGGTTCGTCCGGTAACCTGCAGGTTGAGACACTTCATCTGCTGTCTGAACCTTCACTGCAGTCACAATCGTGACCAAGAGAACTGGATTTCTGATACAGCTGATAGGAATTGGCTTAAAACGAATTTGAGGATCTTATAGTTCTTGTAGTCTGAGTCCATCAAAAACATCCTGTAGGAAACTGTGAAGTCAATCAAGATATGTTGGTTGGATACATGCATAAATAGGAATCTGTGTGCCAAAGTCAATATGATTATTGGGTGAATTTCAGCAGAAAACTGTTTGCTAGACATGTCAGTGTGAATTCTGAATTCGTGCTAATAATGCTAAGTGAATGCAAACCGGATCAACACCAGCTGCCTTTAGAGGTTTACATTTCTTGGGAATGTGTTGTTCAACAGGTGCCAAAGCAGTCATGCTTATCGTACACATCTCCAGCCAAATCAAGCACATGTTGCGTTGTTGGGCCTCTTCTATTGCCAGCGTGATGCAGGCAGGAGTCCAGCAGAGTCCTGCTGTGCAGAGAAACACTCGGTTGGCATTGGAGAAGGACATCTGCTGAACTAAGTCCTCCACATTTACCTCAGAGGTCCGAATGCTGCGTCCAGTTCAACTGGGTCAGAGGCTTGAATCAGAAAATTATGACTTGTTAAAAAATAGTCTGATACTGAAAAATAAAAGTATATTTTCTCCAATTAGGAAGGCCGAATAAACACTGTGTTTATGTGAATTTTTACTGAGAAAAGGAAAGAAATAATAAAATATGAGGTACAAATACAGGTAAACCGACTCAAAGGCCCTTTGCTGCAGTTTCCACAAACTGGATTAAAAATGTGACCAACAGAATTTGACAAACATGAAAACCTGAATCCATCCTGTTCATCAGAACACTTTTAAATAAAACTGAGCTTTATTTAACATCTCCAGTTTAACAGTGTTTTTGTAGACAACCGTCTGTTCATCCGTTTCCCCTTCAAAGCATTTTGAAGCACTTTAAACCCAAAGAAACGTCTTGACTTGATCACAGTGTACCGGGTTTGTCACAACATCAACATTCACTGGACACTGAACACATCTTCAGCTTGTGGTTGAAGCTCCTCACATATAACAGGAAAAACAGGGCCTCCATGTGTGCAGATCTCTGATGATGCAACAGAACGTGTTTTTAATCAGAACCTTTTAGGACATCAGAACAGACTGTCCTTCATGCCTCAAATGTGACAAACTGCACGAAGACAGATGACCTGGTCCTGTTTTACTGTGGATCGGCCAAAAGGCTGACATGAGGCCACTGAACAGAAAGGCAGAACGCTAGAACATTTGATTAAAGTTAATTTTTAAAAATTAAAATGTTTTTCAGTCTGTGTCCCCTGACTGTTAATCTGCAAATCTTCTGCAGACATTTTTTCGTTCCCATCGCTGCCAACAAAACGACAGAGGCAGCGGTGGGAAGGTTTTCTGGCCATGGTTGGAAGTTAATCAGGTGTTACTTCCAAAATTGTTGAGTGTTTTTCCAGTGTGTTCATCTGTGGTTTATGAGGTTTAATATGAGGACCTCTGCGAAGGGGCTGAACGTTGACAGGACTCCCATCCATCTGGAAATGGTAACAGGCCTCTCTGAATGTCCGGCCATAGATCAGCCAACAGATCTATATGTCACAACTCTGGTCAAACGGGACCAGTGACTCCGTCATAAATGGGTATTAATGTGAGTATTTCCTCCCAGTTGACCCAAAATGAGACAAATAGCAGCTAATTTGGCTACAAGAGAAACAAGAAAAACCTCTTCCTCATGATTTGGATTAATCCAAGGATTCCCAACAAACTCATCCTTAGAGAGGCTCAGGATTTCAGACCAGATTTGGTATCTGCTCCATTTGGGAAATAGTTGAAAAATGTCTACAGATTACATACCTGAACTATGGTGATATTATTTATGTCAAAGTGCATTGAAATTCACAATAATACATATTTTCTGGTTTGGAAAAACCTTTGGATCCCCTAGAATGAGCTGCAGCGCATCGGTGTGGAGAGGAAAACCTGCAGGACCCAAACACCGAAACATTATCCTCCAAAGATAACAAGGTTCAAGGTGTGCTGGTTTCCTCCCAGTAACAGCCGTCAGGTCGATGGTTGTCTACCAAAGGGAGCAGCAGATGTGCTGGAAAAGAAGCTTTCTGAGACACTGACTTTGAGAAAACATCGTTTAGCTCCAGTGGATCAGCAAGGTGCTGACTCGGTCTCCATGTTCTTCTACTTCAGCCCAACTGTGTATTTGTGGAACGTGTTGGACAAACAAGCCTCTTCCAGCCCAACTGGTGATGAATATCAGATACTGGGACTCGGGTGTTAATCTGTTATTTCTGACTGTTGTGTGGCGTTACAGAGAAAAGGAAGCCCACCGTGTGAGCTGCCAAATCAGCGGCGAGCCGAGTTGGACTCGCTTCCTGTGCTGTAAAAATGCCAAACTAAAGACAAAATAGGAATTAAATCCTTTGCAGCTGTACAAACCGAAGAATTGTTCAAATCTGTCAGAAATTAAACCTTCTTACTTCACTCACGTCCGTGATTAGCCAATAAAAGTGTTAAGGCACAGAGAGCCAAATAAACTTTAGTGAAACGTATCACTGATAAATTACACTTATTGTAGGTAAAACAAGAGTTATATATTCATTTACACGAGGAAACCGTTTAGAGAAAATTAGATAATAAAAACAAAGAAATGCAGCCATCTGTGTTTACCTAAAATCCAGCTGAACTCATAAGTGGTGGCTAATTTCAGCTGTCAGAAATGAAGCTGGAAGGATTTTAGAACAGGTTAGAAAGCTCATTCACAGGTTTAATGGCCTGTAAAAACAGACGGACACATTAATTTCTGCTTGAAACATTTTGTTTCATGTCAATTGAGTGAATTTGGTGATTATTTATTAAGTTGTGCCAATAAAACCCAAAGTACTAAGAGGTGGTGCAAAGTGTACCAGAAAGGAACTCAAATAGCATCAAAATAACCTCAATTAAATCAATAAAAATCAGAATATTAGGAAATTACATGGCTTGGTTTTGGTCCTACTAATACCCCACAATAGTTACTCCAAATTAAATATCGTCAATGTCTAAATTAAAATTGACTGCAAGGTTTTAATAAACCCCCAAATCTTTGTTTCACTTCTGTAAAGGAAGGCAGTTTGCATCAGTTTGCAGACAAAAGGTTTATGTTTTGTTCTCATTGTTGGATTTTGTGCTGGTCCCTTATTCTGCCCTAAACTGGTCATGTAACATAATTGGTCCAAATGCAAAAAATTAAAAGTGATTACAGTTTTATGATGATAACTTACTGATTATATTCAATAAATCTGAATCTGTCTTTGTTTTAGGAGCATTTGTCAGATTAACAGCAACTTTTGAAAATTCTCAGTTGAAAGAAGTTTTGGGTCAAAACGTTTAAATTAAAAAGAAACATTTTAATTTAAATTGTCTGATTTTTGTTAGAAAATTAGTTGTGAGTGATTTTAGATTCTGTCTATTTTAAAGAAATGTTTACAGTTTTCTGTGTTTCTCATAAGAAAAGTTTTCTGTTGAATTAAGTGAAAAGTTTTGACCCATCTGAATGTTTGCTGTCCTACTTTCTGTAAAAAATAAAAGAATAAACCTATTGTAAAAAGATGTTTTTTAAACTTCAAAGTTAGAATTAAGTTGCCTACAATAACATTTTAGAGCTAAAGTTGAGCTTTTTGTCTGCATATTAAACTCATAAGCTGCATTTCGGTTTGGCGGCTCATGAAAGAGAAAAATGATTCAAATATTGCAGCTTTGGTGGAGTTTGGAAAACAGATGTTTCATGTGATTCCAACCAATGAAAGCCAGATTAATTCTCTCCCACTGGAGTTTATTTGATCCCAACATGTAAACAATATTTGACGTCTTTCACATTTGGTGTTAATTCTGTAAAGCAAACCCACGTGATCAGTGACTGATATGAAGCACACCATTAGGCTGTTATTAAGAATCCATAACGGCAAACTATTGAGAAAAAAACAAAAGCACACCACACATGTTAGCAGCGAGGCAGACCGGCGGTGGGCGTTTGTTTCTGCATCCCGGGACGCTCTGAGCGGGTGGAGTTTGGCTTTTCAAACCCTTCGGAGCGTCTCGGGTTGGAAACGGTGAGACATCACAGCGTGCAGCCAATCACAACACACTCAGCGGGAGGCGTTTTCCCAAAACGTCTGAATCAGGACTTTTCATCCTGTGAAAACGTGAATCTGAGGATTTGGATGATTCAATCACTCAGAGGTGTTTTGGGAAACCTGAAGCAGATCACATGACATCATCTTTACCTCTGCAGGTGGTTTCCTCCTGTTAATGCCTTGATGAGCTTTCTACACACCAGACACAGATACACACACATGAGAACTTGGAACAAAATGAACAGAACAATGACTGTTTTCACATAAAGTTTGGAAACAGGGAGTCAGACAAGCTGGTTCCGATTTGATTGCTTTTAACAATCATCTACTTACAAAAGAACAACTGCTGTGTTTTTCCACTAATTCTACAATGGTACAACAAACATATTAGAGGAAATAAAAGGCTTAATTTATCATTAACAAAGTTTACTAGTTAATCAACGTTAATTGATGTCCAAAGAGGCTGTTTGTCTCATAATTGATGGCTTACAACGATGAGATGTGTGTTGGTTTTCTGCCTCAGCAGACAAAAGACCTCTGATAGTTGGGACTTTCCAAAACAACGAGGATGGATATTTAAAGTGGAGATGCGCAAGGATGATGTACTGGATCAGACTAAACTGGACTGAGAACAAGACTGTGTGGAAATGGTTTTAATTGGTTTAATAATTCAATGTTGGTTGGCTGGAGTTAATAAATGGGACCAACGTAGGAAAGCAGACTGCTGAGGAAGATGAGTGGGATGAAACAGGTTGAGGAAACAATAATGAATACAGACCAGTAGAGAACAATAGAGGATGAGTGGGATGAAGCACTTTAAGGATAAGAAAGAGAACAAAATGTTGAGAAGAAAGAACAGAATGAATCCGAGTCCTTAAGGATGATGAAGAGGATGAAATGTGTTAGGAATGACAGGAAGAGTTTAAAAAATGACGAGGGGGATGAGCGCGGTCCAAAGGAAAGACAGAAAAAAGAGGATAAAAGGTGGAAAAACGGGCTGTATGTGGAAATCAATGATGAGAGAAAAGAGTGGATCAAGAGGTAATATAAAGAATGAGTGGGATCTCCTTCTGATGCGTCTCTGATCGACTTTGGTTGAACCGCCGATGCATTGTGTGTAATAAATTATTTATTTTCCTGTTTCTGACATTTTATTTTTGTAAAACACGATCGGTCATAAAGACTAGACAGAAAAGCATCAAACGAAGCAGAAATGTTCCCCAAAAGTAGAAAGACAGGTAAACTATTGTTCATTACAGCTTTAAAGACCAAAGTCCGACTGTGTGAACTTCGATTCCTTCCCTTGTTTACAGACCGAAAGGTTCAAGGAAAAACTCTTTATTTCTGACTCACTTTCTCACAGCAAGACGTTCATGTAGTAAACTACTGTGTTCACCGTTTTTCCAGGTTCTGTTTGATCTGTCAAGCATAAAAACACTTTCATGTGGGGTTCTCATTAGCGAGGCGTCTCACCTGTGTTCCTGTTTCGCTTGGAGAACGGTGTCAGCGTGGCTTTGGCCTTGGAGGTCCAGTTGCTGGTGCTGGAGCCGAAGGAACTGGAGGACAGCGACTTGGCCAGGTTGTCTGAGCTCACCTTCTTCGTGTTGTTGGTGGCCGTCTTACTCCAGTCTACAGGAGGGAAACAAAACCAGTGCCACACCATCACTTCCAGATTAGTCCTCATCAGATGATTACCTGGAGCAGAATATTTGGAAACACTTTGTCTGACGGCTTGTGAATAAAACACTGCTTGCTCCCTTTGTCTGCAGGTTTAATAACAATGTGGTCATATGGCACATGGAGCCAATTTATAGCATGATCAACTCTGTTTCCTTCAATTGCTATAAATATGATATGTATGTCAAATATGATTTCCTGATTTCACAAACTGAAATTGGGATCCTGTCTCTTTAAAAACTCTTGTTCTTCAGGAAGTCGTCACAACATGGCTTCTCTATTTACCCTAACAAAGGTTTAGCCAGTGTTTCACTGAGAATCAGCTCCTATAGGGAGCTGCAGTTCCACCAGGTGTTTGCTAATTGCTGCTGGCTAGTCTAAAGGAGCAGCTGCATCTCAAAGGCGGGGAAATGTCCACCCAGGCATTTTAGACAGGTTGCCATTGAGATTTAAAGATTTCTCAAACATGCACGAACAAAGTAGATTTTACGTGATACTGTCCCTTTAAGGTTGCCAAATTGAGACATTTCTGTGTAAATGTGACTGGTTCTTAGTGGTCCTCTTTGGGTCGAAGGGCGGATACTGCAACCAGATTTTCCAGTCGGTTTTAGTAGTTCAGGTTGGTTCTACGTCGCTCAGCTCCCGGATCAACACAACAAACATTGAGGCTCCGCCCACTTTAGTGGAAGCTCCAGTTTATCTTGGCTTTTTTTGTCAACCATCTAATTCTGTTAGTGTGCAGTAAAATGTTATTTGGTACCGAGAAGATCTGATTCTTCTTCCTGAGCACATTAATCATTAATTAGCCAGATCTCCATTTAAATGAGATCAGGATCCAGGTGGTTGGTGGGAGATCTGTGATGCTTCGGGTCGGTTTCTCCTCCAAAAGAAACAGACAGCAACTGCATATATTCAATAAAACCAGATGGAAAACATAAAGGAGAGCAGGACTCTCCAGAGAAGTTCTGAGAGTGTTCGTCCTGAAGTCGGTGGGTTGCTGGTTTGACCCCGGCTCCTTGGGCAAGGCGGTGAGCGGCAGCCAGGCTTCTGTCAGGCAGCTGTAGCCACTATCCAGTAGCTCACCCCCATCAGCGTGTGAATGAGACTGAATGTAGAGTGAAGTACTTTGGGGTCATGTTCAAGTACAGGCCATTTACCGGTTACCATGATCAACATCAAAGGTCCCTCGCTCTGTGTGATCCAATTTTGGGCAAATTGAGTCAATGAGTGGAAAGTTTAGGTAATGTGGAAAGTAGCTTTTGTTTTATGTCCAGCTGAGACGCCCAACAGGTCGTTGTTTACTTCGCTGTGTTCATCCCACACACAGGCAGGACAGGAAGACGACTGATCCTGGCTTAAGGAGAAATTCCTCATTTCTAAGGCGATGACACACAAACTTCATAAGGAATGTTTTGTGTTCGCATATTGGACGTTCACAGAGTGTTGTTGAGTACAGCGTCCTCAGATTGACTGCACCTGGAGGACATTCCTCTCCCTGAGAGACGGCTGCGTTTTATCTGCTTTTATTAGCTGCAGAGCCGAGGCGACTTAGGTTTTATTAAACTGTCCTTCCCTTTTCTGTCTCACAGCTCTGTGAACCTGGCAGCAGCCAGGCAGACAAATCCGAAGGGCTTCCTGTGGGGAAGGGAGGCAGGTAGACGGACGGACGGACGGACGGACGGACAGACGGACGGACAGACGGACGGTCGGATGGATACCTGAGTTCTCTGAGAGCCTGTAGGGGCCACAGCAGAGGTAACGTCTCCACTGCTTCTGCACGTTTTCCTTCAGAGCGCAATGGAAGATAAATATGAAGAGACCTGAGAGGAGAGGAGAAGCTCAGGTTGAAACTTTTATCATGTCTACTGAACATGAAGCAATTTTTAACCTGAATAAACGGAGCGAAAAATCTGAACAACCAGATTACAAAAATTAAAATAAGACATTTTTTCACATGAGACCCAAAAGATCTCGATGGATGAATGTTTAGATGGATGATCAAACTTGAACCACTGTCACCGAAATCCCCTCAGATTAAAAATGATTTTCCTTCCTCATTTGAACCCTGAATGTTTAGATGACGTCTAAAGTCAAGAGCCGTCGGTTCAGTTCAGTTCAGTTCGGTTCAGTTCGGTTCAGTTCAGTTCAGTTTGGTTCAGTTCGGTTCAGTTCAGTTCAGTTCAGTTTGGTTCAGTTCGGTTCAGTTCGGTTCAGTTCAGTTCAGTTCAGTTCGGTTCGGTTCAGTTCGTTTCAGGCCAGTTCTGTTCGGTTCAGTTCAGTTCAGTTTGGTTCGGTTCAGTTCAGTTCGGTTCGGTTCCGGTTGGTTCACTTCAGTTCAGTTTGGTTCGGTTCAGTTAGGTTCAGTTCAGTTCAGTTTGGTGCAGTTCAGTTTAGTTCAATTCAGTTCCGTTCGGTTTAGGTCGGTTTGGTTCAGTTCAGCTCGGTTCAGTTCGGTTCAGTTCAGTTTGGTTCAGTTCAGTTCGGTTTGGTTCAGTTCAGTTCGGTTCGGTTCAGTTCAGTTCGGTTCGGTTCAGTTCAGTTCAGTTCAGTTCGGTTCAGTTTGGTGCAGTTCAGTTCAGTTTGGTGCAGTTCGGTTCAGTTTGGTGCAGTTCAGTTCAGTTTGGTGCAGTTCAGTTAGGTTCAGTTCGGTTCAGTTCAGTTCGGTTTGGTTCAGTTCAGTTCGGTTCAGTTCAGTTCAGTTCGGTTCAGGTCGGTTTGGTTCAGTTCAGTTTGGTGCAGTTCAGTTAGGTTCAGTTCGGTTCAGTTTGGTGCAGTTCAGTTCAGTTCAATTCAGTTCAGTTCAGGTCGGTTTGGTTCAGTTCAGTTCGGTTCAGTTTGGTGCAGTTCAGTTCAGTTCAATTCAGTTCAGTTCAGTTCAGTTTGGTTCAGTTCAGTTCAGTTCAGTTCAGGTCGGTTTGGTTCAGTTCAGTTCAGTTCAGTTCAGTTTGGTTCAGTTCAGTTCAGTTCGGTTCGGTTCAGGTCGGTTCAGTTCAGTTTGGTTCAGTTCAGTTCAGTTCAGTTCAGTTCAGTTCAGTTCGGTTCAGTTTGGTTCAGTTCAGTTCGGTTCAGTTCAGTTCAGTTCAGTTCAGTTTGGTTCGGTTCAGTTCAGTTCAGTTCAGTTCAGTTCAGTTCGGTTTGGTTCAGTTCAGTTCGGTTCAGTTTGGTGCAGTTCAGTTCAGTTCAATTCAGTTCAGTTCAGTTCGGTTTGGTTCAGTTCAGTTTGGTGCAGTTCAGTTAGGTTCAGTTCGGTTCAGTTCAGTTCGGTTCAGTTTGGTTCAGTTCAGTTCAGTTCAGTTCAGTTCAGTTCAGGTCGGTTTGGTTCAGTTCAGTTCGGTTCAGTTTGGTTCAGTTCAGTTCAGTTCAGTTCAGTTCAGTTCAGGTCGGTTTGGTTCAGTTCAGTTCAGTTTGGTTCAGTTCAGTTCAGTTCAGTTCAGGTCGGTTCAGTTCAGTTTGGTGCAGTTCAGTTTGGTTCAGTTCAGTTCAGTTCGGTTCGGTTCAGTTCGGTTCAGTTCAGTTTGGTGCAGTTCAGTTCAGTTCAGTTCAGTTCAGTTCAGTTTGGTTCAGTTCAGTTCGGTTCAGTTCAGTTCAGTTCAGTTCAGTTTGGTTCGGTTCAGTTCAGTTCAGTTCAGTTCAGTTCAGTTCGGTTTGGTTCAGTTCAGTTCGGTTCAGTTTGGTGCAGTTCAGTTTAGTTCAATTCAATTCCGTTCGGTTTAGGTCGGTTTGGTTCAGTTCAGTTCGGTTCAGTTTGGTGCAGTTCAGTTCAGTTCAATTCAGTTCAGTTCAGTTCGGTTTGGTTCAGTTCAGTTCGGTTCAGTTTGGTTCAGTTCAGTTCAGTACAATTCAATTCAGTTCAGGTCGGTTTGGTTCAGTTCAGTTCAGTTTGGTTCAGTTCAGTTCAGTTCAGTTCAGTTCGGTTCAGTTCAGTTTGGTGCAGTTCAGTTTGGTTCAGTTCAGTTCAGTTCGGTTCGGTTCAGTTCGGTTCAGTTCAGTTTGGTGCAGTTCAGTTCAGTTCAATTCAGTTCAGTTCAGTTTGGTTCAGTTCAGTTCGGTTCAGTTCAGTTCAGTTCAGTTCAGTTCGGTTCAGTTCAGTTTGGTGCAGTTCAGTTTGGTTCAGTTCAGTTCAGTTCGGTTCGGTTCAGGTCGGTTCAGTTCAGTTTGGTGCAGTTCAGTTCAGTTCAGTTCAGTTCAGTTCAGTTTGGTTCAGTTCAGTTCGGTTCAGTTCAGTTCAGTTCAGTTCAGTTTGGTTCGGTTCAGGTCGGTTCAGGTCGGTTCAGTTCAGTTTGGTGCAGTTCGGTTAGGTTCAGGCCGGTTCTGTTCGGTTTAGCAGTAATGGCCGGCGGACCTTGCAGGGAGTTGAAGATGGTGAACAGGTAGGTGAAGGTCAGGTAGACGGGCCCCCAGGCGAACAGAGCGAAGCCCCATGTCATCCCGAGCAGGAAGGTGAGGCTCACAACGCTCCGCAGGTTCCGCAGAATCTGGATCGCAGTGGAGGATTTAACAATTTAAACATTTCAAATAAAATGTTCAAAGATTTGCCCTTAATCTCATCACCAACAGCTGTACGTCAGTGAGCGCGCACCTCTTCTCGCAGGGTGCGGTTGGTGCGTTTGCCGTTGCGGCCGCAGATCTGCATCATCACCACGATGAACATGGCCACGTTGAGTAGGAACATCAGGCAGAAATAACCAACACAGGTTGAGTAGAAAACACTCTTCTCCTTGATCCAACACCTGAGAGGAAACATGCAACGCAAGAAGCATCTGCTCAGTCTTTGGCGAAAGCCGCCGACCTCAGCTGCTGTACTTCACTTTAAATTCAACTTTAGAGGAAACAATCATTTCTACAGCAATAAAAACTTCATTTATATGTTCATTTAACACATTCTGGTTTTTACCAGACTGGTTACGATACGGTCGTCTTACATCGTTGCTGATTCGTCGGTGTGGTCCTTCAAGACGCCGTAATAGTTTTTATTCACCGTGACAACGATTCCCACCAGCACTGCAGGTAAACCTGGAAGAAACCGGAGAGGAAAACTGTTACTGTTCAGGATCTCTGGATGAGTTTCTGATACAGCGCCTCCATGCTCAAGTCTTCTGTCATCTTCTGGATGTTTTTGCAGTGGCTCAGCGTTTAATGGAATTATTGCTCACAATGCCAAGCTTTATACCTCACATTTTTAGATTTATCAATTAATTTTTAAAATGCAAAACAAAAGTTTTTCTACTTATGAACTTATAGGAGAACGTGGGAAATGAAAAACGCGGCTGGATATGATCAGTGATGTCTGAAGTTGGTCCTTAAAGGCAGGGATCCTGCATGTTTTGGGTCTTTTGCTGATTTAACACGATGAAATGGTTCAGAAACAGGCTGGGGAGGAGCCAGTGCTGGCGCTGAGCACTCATGGTTTAAATCATGGGTGTCAAACTCTCGTCCTCCAGGCCTGGAGTCCTGCGACTTTTAGATGTTTCTCTGCTGCACCACCACTGAACAGAATAATTAGGTCATTAGCAGAACTCTGGAGAAATTATCTACACAAGAAGGAGGTAATTAAGCCGTTTCATTCCAGTGATTTGTACCTGCAGAACATCTAAAAACTGTGGAACACCTGGAGGTCTGGAGTTTGTCACCTGTGGTTTAGATGAATGGATCAGTGTGAGGCTGAACTCGCCTCTTCATCCAAGATTTTTGAAACATGTTGCAGCCTGAAGCGAAGGAATGTGTGTTGGCTCAGCAATCGGCCCTTGGATTCGTTTTTTGCGGTTTAAATGGCACTAAAGCAAATGGAGTTTTGTGTTTTTCTTTGTAAAAAAAATGTCTCATTAGCCTGCGTTTTATTTGCTGTCATTTTAATGTCAGTAGGACATTATATCTTTACCGACTACTGAAAAACAGACTCAGTCATTAAAATGGAATAAATATAGTTCAATTTTTAAGGCAGTTCTGGAAAGAAACTAATAATAGCTGCATTTTCATTAATAACATAGTTGTACTAATATGAATTATAAAAATACATTTGGTTAACAAAAATACATCAATTCAGAAAACAAAGCATGTTTTTTGCGCTCGAATGAGGTGGTTATTTTTTTCTTACACGCTTTTGGACATCAACTGGCCTATGAAATAAAATATACGGTTCCAAGAATCAGCAACAATTCATATCTCGACTTTCACTGAGTTGTCAATTAATGATAATCCTACAAAGAGCTCACCCCATCCCACGATGCAGAACTTGAGGATGTATCTGCGTATGTAGGTGTTGAAGACTTTGACCAGAGCGATGTACATGTGCACCGACTCCAGGCCCATCCAGGTGAAGGACGTCAGCAGGAAGTAGTGCAACAGGACGGCTGCAGATATGCACAGTCCCTCGCTGTGGACCATACTGGCGAGCCAGCCGTCCAACAGGAACACGATGTTGAGGAACAACAGCGACGTGCTCAGGTTCATCAGGATCTTAGACGGATAATCCCGTCGCAGTTTCCTGGGAGGAGAGAAAAAGAAGGTTTAGTTGATTGTCCGATCGGTGGTTGTAATGGCAAATCAACCGGACTCACTCGAAGGCGATGTAGGTGAGCAACGTGGCGGCCGAGCAGATGGCCGAGATGCCGCAGCCAATGTAGGAAAGGAACGTCAGGACCTTCTTGTTCTCTGCATCGATTATAAAGGAAGTCTGGGAAATGTCCTGCAGGAATCAGAAACAGAAAACTCTTCAGGATTCGTTTTTTTCCAGACTCAAGTTGGAACACCAGCCTGTTTTTGCTTTTCTTTTCTGAGAAGTTGAATTTAGTTGTTTTGCTCATTATTTTTAGAAACATTTACACTTTCATGGCAGGTTTGGACTTTGAGATGTTTTTCCACCTCAGCTTGAACCAAAACTGAGTTCAAGAGTTTACACGACCTCAAGAATCCACTCGAATGTCCTCAAACATCATCACAAGCCAGAAAAATGAAAGATGTGATTTTGTTTTCAGAATGAAGCCTGAGGTGAGCCGAAGATAAGATTTATATGCTTACTGCCTTAACTAACTTCTGGCTGCAGGATTGCATACCAGCAGGACTGTTCAAAATTTATAACAATTTTAGTTTTGCTCTGAAAGATGTTATGTTTGTTTCAGAAAGCAGCTGTGATTGTGAACGGTGGCGTCTGATGGTCCTGATCCCAGCCTGCCTAACCCTAACCCTAATCCTAACCCTAATCCTAATCCTAACCCTCTCACCATCAGGATGCCGAAGTGGGTCAGGTGGTTGCAGAGGCAGACGGTTCTACTGGAGGTCGACTCTTTAGAAACGCTGCAGCCGCGTTTATTCCAGCCTCCGTCGCCCCCTGGTGGCAGTCAAACAGATTCATTTATCACTATCAATTGAAATTATGTACATTTGGGTTTACAGTTTTCTTAATATGATTTGTTCTGGAACTTTACAGCAAAAATTGAGAAGTAGAAATATTTGAATGTATCAGATCAACTTTGTGACCTGAAGGAGGAAATAAAGTGACCACAGACTCACTGTTCATGCTGAAGTCCCAGAAAACGCACTCCCTACGCGACGACGCCTGACAGGAAACAGAAAAAAAAACAGAATAACATTTTCATCTATACTCCAAGATGGAAAAATATATGAAAAACACACTGACAAAAAATACTGATAAAGAAAAACTACAAAAGGAGTTGAATTCAAATTAAGAGAGAGAAAAAAATCTTTTTAAAAATTAGATTAAAAACAAACCAAATAAATTACTGAAGAAACAAAAACAAAACAATAATCTCTTAGGAATTCAACTTGAAAATATTCATAATGATTAAATCAATCACACTTTTTAAAAATATAACCTTAAATATAAACAAAAAAATTCACACCAAAATTATACATTTTAGTGAATCAAATAAAAACAAAAACTGATCCATTAGTAATTAAAATAAACAATAAAATAGAAAATTAAGGACAAAAGGAATAAACATTTACCTCTAATAAAATAAAGAATAGAAAATAAAAACACAAACAATATTTAAGAAGAAAATAACTAGCATGAACATAATCCAAACATTGACAATGTAATAAAATACAAATTAAAATGAATTCTAATAACTCAAACTGGTTCAGAATAAAATATATTTTTTTAAAAATCTGAAGAAATATTTAAAATGAAAAAAGTATAGATAAGGTAGAAAATGAAGAAGCACAAAGTAAAAATAAATGTCAGAACTGCACCTGATCAGACAGGTGGGTGATCTCGATCTTCACCGGATCCTGCAGGTCCGTGATGGAAAGGTTCCCGACGCTGCTGGCCACCACATAACTGTTCAGAGACAAACCTTTCTGCTCTTTCTGGGGACAAAACACACAAACACGTCACCTGCCGTCCCCCTCATCCTCACTGATGAAGCTCAGCCCCGCCGTCCTACCATGAAGAGGCTCGGTCTGCTGAAGAACATGAAGTTGATCCTGGACAGAGACGACCGGCTGAAAGCGTCCGCAGAGACTCCGGACAGCAGGGAGGCGGGAAGCGTGACCTGAGCCAACGGGTTGGACGTCCGGTTGAACTCGATCTGACAGGAATCACTCAGTTCAGCTCATTGGTGTCATTTAAAAGGGACAGAGCATGATATAACAACACAGGATACAAACATTTATATCCTGTATCCTATATGACGGTTACCTGGGGGTCGGTGGAGTTAGGAGGGAAGAAGGCGCTGAATGACGTCCCGTTGAACAATCTGGAGCTGAGCGCCAGGACACCCAGGGCCAGGTTTCTGGAGTTGATGAGCACAGATTCCCCTTCAAACTCCACCTTCTGAGCCAGTTCATCCACGGCTTTCAGAGCTCTGGAGGAGAAAAACAGAAAAGACTCTGCTGAAATGTGAGCGTCCTCAGCAGCAGGCGTGTGGATCTGATGCTGCGACCAGAGGAAGACGTACATGTTGGAGGCTTTGTCCGAGCTGACCATGACGTTAGAGATAATGTGGATGACCGATCCGGCCACCGCCGTGTCGATCTTGGCAACGCTGACCAGTTCCTGGACCTTCGTCACAACCTGAGAGACCTGCAGACGGAAAGGACAGAAACAGTGGGTTCAGTTCATTCTGATTCTTATTCTGGGCTTTCAGTCTGAAGTCCCACCTCCTCCTTGGACAGAGTGTTCTTGGTGAAGTTTGCCAGCTGCTCTGCAACGCCAGCCGCATTTTCTACAAAAACACACAGCAGATTGAATTCAAGGCCTTTAATCTGGAAACTTATAGAAATGTAGGCAAACATGATTAAATCTAATGCTGTCTAATAATCTGCACTTAAGTTTAATTTATGATCAGATGCATGTCAAGTGCCAGATGAAGGTTTTTCTGTTTATTACTTTTGAGATAACTTTAATTAATGCATACATTAATACAATTATAATTTAGTCCTAAACACATTTTTTGTAATAAGAATTATTAATTCACACTTTTTTAACATAATGTTAAATTATTGTTACATCATAAACATTCTGTAAAATTTAAGTAAAAATTAAATTGAGATTCAATTAATATGCCGACATCATGTGGTCATGAACTGAGGGTTAATTTTAACCAACCAGGTTAAATAAACTCAGCTAAAGGAAGCTTCTGTTCATTTTGTTTTGCAGTGTTTTAAGTTACCTGCAGTGACGGAGCAGTTGGTGAGGTTTGCAGTCGACCAGAGAGACTGGAAGGTTTCTGGGTTTATCAAACTGGGAAAAGAGACAAACAGCTTAAATGTGATGGTTTATGTTCAAACATCAGATGAAAACATGTCCAACTCTAATAATTACAATTTATATAATCTGCTATGACTCATGTTCTTTAAAGTGAAATTATAACATAAAACAATTATATTTAGGTTCAGACATCAAATCAAGTGTTTGATGCATTAATTGCATATGCAGCACTATTAGCTGTGTATTATCACTGTGTTAGAATCAGTAATGAATAGAGTTAGTGCAGTTAAATCACTAAGAGTTTATCTATAAAGGCCTCATGAATTTTTAAGTGAAACTATTAATAATCAGAGCTGGGCGTCTTTGTTCAGCCAGCAGTTGTTAATGAAAGGTCTCAAAGCGAAAATAATCAGATTTAAAATGTTCTCCAGCAACCCGGATCCGGTCGGCCCTGCTAAAAAACACCGTTTAAAATTCAATTCACACTTCAGAGAAGATGAAATGATTTCCAGTTAATGAGATCAGGGTTCTTTGAGACTCACCAGGTCTCATGCTTTCTTGTGAAGTTTCTGAGTGATTAGATAAACTGTGACCAACAGAAGCTGATCAATAACTAGAGCAGAAATGATACCAAGAACTGGACATCACTCCAAAAGTGATTCAAAACATCCAAAAGGAAAACCACAGCAGTGATAAAAATGTCTTTATGGACTTTTAAACTTTAAAAATCTTTTAACTGTTTACTTTTACTTGGGCATAAGTGCAGTATTTATTTTGTTCACCAGGTTCTGGAGGCGCTCTGGTCCTTGTTGGGGAAGCAGGGCAGGAAGTGAGTGAGTCTGGGTTTGGTCTCGGGCCACAGGTAGTGAAGGTTGTTGTCCTCGGGGCAATTCTCTGTGACGACGGAGGCAAACAGACGATTCATCAGCAACGTGTTGCAGATACAGCAGAAAAGAAGGAGCAACAAAATCATAACAAAGAGAAGAGAAATGATGTAGTAATGTCATAAAATAAGGCTTCAAAATGTAACATCAAAATCACCATAATAATCTACACAGAATGGAAGAAAACCCCTGATTGTATTTTGAATTGTTTTGCCTAATTAAACAGCAAATGAGTTTGAAAACTCAAATAAATGAGTTTCCAGTTTGACAGTTCTCTGCAGCTGAACTGGTTTCTGACCGATCTGGTGAACGATGATGTTGTCAGCCTGGCCCAGCCGGCCGGTACCGGCCGGGTCGGCGATCAGCTGGGCCAACACGTCGGCTTCACCCAGACTCTCGTTGCTGATCATCAGCAGCACCTGGCAGGTGTAACTGAGACGAAACAGCAGCTCAGATTTAAACTGATCATCACCTGAAGACGAGTCTGAAGCTTCAGAAACATTTACCTGTTCAAGGCTGCGTTCGGCTCAACTCTGGAAAAACAGATAAAGAAACAACTGAAACAAATTGCTTCAAGGAACATGAGTCATGATGAGATGCAATAAAGTAGAGATAAAAATATTTAGTCTTTAGCAGAAATAACCGGTGTTTGTATCTAAACTGTTTTACAATGTTTCTCTCTCCAACATTTTTGGATTTGTTTTTAGATGTTTTTTAAGATCACTGTAATTATTCATCTGTAGTTTAGTGAACGTCCACTAGAGGGCAGCAGTGGTAACAGTCCTGGCTCAATTAGAAACAGAAGAATAGATTTTTATTATCCTTTTATTTGGGGTAATAAACACTTTTAGGGAAGCGTTCAGGTAACGTTAAAAACATTAAGATATGTCTAATGTGACGTCAACATAATGAAGTAAAAAGTTTTATTTAATGTCACTGGATGTTTCCATGGAGACAATAGTAAACCTGTGAATAAAATGTTTTGTTTTTTACTTTTATATGATCTTTTTAATAGAATAAAATACAAAACTGCATCAATAAAATCAGCTTGTATTGGATTGTAAGATAAAAAAGTTTGCAGAATTACCTGATATGATCCAAAGAATGTGTCCAGTTCTGAAAAGTTTGATTAATCTGCAAAAAGAAACACATTGATCATGATGAGATCTGACGTTCAGAAGAGAATTATGGTAAACTGTGGGAACATTTCCCATCTTACCCAGAGAGCGGCGGCTCGCTGCACCGCCTGCAGGTTGAGCTCAGTCTCCACCGCGAAGGAAACCCGGTAGAACAAACCGTCTGCAAAAAACCAGGAAACCATCCCACAGTCAGAGCTTTTCATTCCAGTGGAGACGTTTCTGTTTCTGCGCCTCACAGCAGGAGATGAATCAAGCACTCAGAGCCAGAAGAGGCATGTTAACCTCCAGAGAACTGGTGAGGAGGAAAGGTGCTGCTCAGCAGATAACAGCGAACAAACGCATGAATGGAGGGAGTTTAGTTCATTTTGGTGAATAAACTCACATAGAAAACCTTCTGATTGCCTTACAGATGATCTGTCTGCTGAAAGCAACAAGTTTTAACCAGAATCTGAGGTTCATCACCGTCCTTATTGTCATCTTCTCTGTAACATTGGAGGGATTTGACTGAGCTGCTGCAGCTGATCCCACATTTCCAGGTTTGAATGAATAAAACATGCAAATTTAGGCAAAAATCTGCTGGTTGATGGAATGGAAAATAATCTGATCAGCTAATTTGTGCAGCATTGTCACTGGAGGGAAATGTCCAATGAGAAGTTCAGCAGATTAAAATGGTGTTTGCAGACAGAATGAGCAGCAGTAGGTAGAGTTTGCAATCATTTCCTATTTTAACATTTTTATTCAAAAAAAAGACCTAAAACTGAGTTCTTTATTAATATTCTGCCTGCACATTTAAAAACTGAATAACTTATTTGGAACAAACTCAAGATGGATCAGTTAAAAAAACTAAAGAGTTCAGTGAATGTCCTTCAATCAAAGACATGCTTGCAGCAGTTACATTTGCTTTACTCTTTATATTTTTGAGTATTTCTGATTTCGGAAAAATTTGAAGGACTAAATTAAATATTTAGAGATATTCCATCTCATTAAGATAATTTCAGGTTGACCCTCAGAGCCTCAGTGCTTCCCTCCATCTCCTGCTATGCTGCACAGCAGCCACTAGGTGTCTCTCTTAGCTCTACAGTTGTTAGTTTGAGGCCCGAACAGAAGACATTATTTCTGGTTGGAGAGCCTGCAAACTGACAGGGATTTATTTTATTGATTTTGTTGCTTGTTCAAACAGCTGAAGTAGATTTCTGATAAGGACTCAGAATCCGAGCAGCTGAGCAGGAAGGTCTCCCCCAGAGAGACTTCGCTAAAAGACGAGGACTGTTGAGAAAAAGTGTCAGGAAAAAATTAAAGAAAAAAAAACATCTGATACTTGTGTTTAAACTAGAACTACCGATGCAGAAACCTGATTGGACAGGCCTGAGAATGGACCCAGAATCACAGCAGAACAATCAGCAGAGCTCCAAACGGTGCCGTTCGTTACACAGTCAAAAATTAACAGCAATAATTCAGATTATTTAGCTGTAAGGGACAAAACATTGTTAATTTATCAGTCATATTTTCACCATTTATAAATGTCAGTTTCAATATAAATAAAAAGCAAGCTGGGCTACAGACTAAATATTTATCTTTGAGGTAGATATTTTGTTACAAAGTGACTGTTTTACTCAAAACTAAATACTCCCAGCAGACTAAATACCTAGTTTATAAACTAAATATTTGTAGAATAAACAATGTTTAATCTAACAACTAAATATTTAGCTAAATATTTAATTAACTCTGGGCGAGTAAAAATATTTAGTTTATAAACTAAACATGTAGGTAAATGTTAGAACTAGGTAAATATTTAAATGACATAAGTAGCTAATTATTTCATCTGAAGTAAAATATTTTTGTCTGAACTGAATATTTAGTTTGCTAATAATTTAGTTTGAATCATTAATTCATTAAAAGATTTAATGATGGTGAAAATATGGCTGTAAAATTGACGTCTGTTGTTTTTTTTCATGATTTTTGATCGTGTATCTTTACTAACGGCATCCCGTCAAGGAACTGATTTATATGATTAATTAGTAAAAGGTTTTTGTTCTACAGAAAAGCCCGACCACCTAAAATCCCTTCAGTCAAATTGAGCGAAATCCCCCAGATTTAAGACTTCATACAATCAGAAGGAGGTTTCTATACTTGATTGCTTTCTCTGACGGTCTACAGCTACGGTTTGAACATACTGTTCCCTGATGACTCTCTGCACAGACATGAAAAATCAAAGGTCAGTTTGCAGTGGCAGGAATCGACGCTCAGAGCGGGACGCGGCGTCTTTGGACGCGGCGTCTTTGGACTCGGGTCTCTGAGTGGAGCAGCTGAGGAGGAGGAAGTAGTTGCAGCTGCAGATGGTTTTAGGAAAGCTCCATGGTTCCACAGGTGCGGATCTGAGGCTGGGTTCAGCTTTGCAACAGCTGGTTCTTCTAAAACGCTTGAATCTTCAGAGGCATTTTTGGCCTGTGCGGAGTTTGTCTCTTCAGCTGGCTCCAGAGGGGCGTCTTTGAGCATCAGAATGACGTCTTTATTCGTGCTGGAGACGTTTTTTGTGCCTACATTACCGGAAACAGAAAGCTCTGTGAGCCCAGACATGACGTCTTGATTTGGGGCATGGATGGCAGGGCGGGTGGGGGACCTGGAAGCTGCTGGCAGGGGCTCTGGGGTAACAGCAGAAGTGATTTGCTGAGATGCATCCATCATGCTTGGTTTGTTTGTGTGTTTAGAAGCAGCAATCAAACGACCTGTTGCAGCTTCCTGCATCCCGTCTCTCCCGCTCTCAGCTGTTGAATTCACTCCGACTTCAGACACTCGCTCTTCAGCAGGAAACATCTTCGGAGCGACATCTGCAAGATCAAACATGGAATCAATTCTGGAGGCGTCTGCTTTCAGGGAGCCGTTTGCAGGATGAGAGTCGACTCCATCACTGACGGCGTCTCTGGCAGGAAGCGGAGGCTGCGAGGGAACGGCTTCCCATTCATCTCCAGAGAGTGTGGAAGACTGAGAGAGGGAGAAAAAGAGCTCAAAAGGCTGCTTGTCGGCTCGGTGTGGGGTCTGGAAGTGTTTGTTCAGGAACGCTGCTGTGGGTCGAGTGGGTGACAGAAAGCCAATTTCTGCTTCTGTCACGCTGACGGTTGCTGATGTCGCCCTGCTGGAGGCGAGAGTGGAGGAAGAGGGAAAAGATGCAGGAGGAGGAGGAATGTGGAGAGCAGCGGGAGGAGGAGGCTGATGTGTGTGTGCTAAGTTTGGGATCCGGTGTGAGATACTTGGCAGAGGAGCCGGGATTCCCAGCTGTGCTCCGGCGGTTCTGCGATGTGTTGTCGGTGGAACGGCAGGCGGGTGTAAAGAAGACTGAATAAATGGGTCATCATGATCCACCCGAGAAAGAGCTGCTGATGTTTGGGCCAGAAAAAAAGCAGGATTCCCTATGACTTGTTTTGAGTTCCCTACAGAGGGAGGAGACGTCTTGGATGACGTCCTGAGGCTGTCGCTTAAGACAGGAGGGAAAATATCTGAAAGCAAAGAGGACAAGGAAGCAGGAAGCCGAGCTGGGGTGGATTGGCGACCCAGATGAGACTGATCTGGAAACAGATCCACATCCTTTAAATCTTTTAGATCAGACTGGAGTGAGAAAAGACTCAGCGACGGAGTGATTGGCCTCAAAACCTCAGACAAATTCTCCGTCGGTGAACTCAAAGAAACTGGATTATTCCCACTTAAGAATTCATTGGATGGAGAGCCATCTGAGACACTTAATGGGTCTGATTGAGAATCAATGTCTGATACGTTGGCTAATCGTTCCTCAGAAGACAGGGACGACTCAGGGAAGAATGCACCAACACCGGACGGGATCTGGGATTCAGAGATGGAATCAGAAAGGAGAGGATGTGAGAACACAGATGGATTTCTGGGGTCAAAAAGGGTTGAGATCGGAGATGGAAGTGGGACAGAAGGATGGGAGCTTCCTGACCCCCGAGGAGAGGCATGAAGCTGGAGAAGACGAGGAAAACCGTTGGAGGAGACAGAGGGTGGCTCAGTGGGACCCAAAAGGGACGGAGGAGAAGATGGAGGATGAAGAGAGGCGCGGAGGAGGGAGAGAAAATGTTGGTGAAAAACAGGGGAGAGGTGAATTTCTGCAGATGGAGATGTTTGAAGAGAGGAATCAGGACTGCGGCTGGGTTTCTGCTGTGAGACAGAAACAGCAACAAGTCGTTTCAGAGGAACCTCCAGAGAAACACCAGCAGAGGGTGAAGCTGCAATTTCAGTTAAAGACGAGGACGGTTGAACGATGAGACGCTCATCAAACTGTGGTTCAATCAGACTCGTGTTTTTTGGAGAGGTTTCTTTAGCGTCTCCTTCCTTCAGAGTGTCACTGACTCTTGTTATAGAGCTGGCAGGAAGTTCTTCCTGGGAGGAAACGGCATCGTACTCATACATGTCACCCAAATCATACATGAACATGTCAGACCCTGAAGAGTACTCCAGAGGATCCGTCCAGTTCCTCGTGAGGAATTCCACACCGCTGATGCTCAGAGGGAACCAAGGGGGCGCTACCGGTTTGCTCTTTCTGTTACTCAGCCCTGATGATGATGACACCTCACCTTTATGCTGCCGTGGAGACGAGGCCCGTGACGGTTCGGGTGCAAGAAGAGTTTCAGAGTCTCGACTGGTTGTGAGGGTCTTGACTGTTGTGGTGTTATGGGTGGAAGATGAAGACTTTGCTGGGGAAATCAAACTGTTTAGCTGACTTCCCAACATGGGAGAGGTGTTCCTGGAGGAAGGCCTGGCTGTCGACTTCAGTCCGGGTTTTAGGGGGGAAGGTTTTGTCACACGAGCCTCCACCCTGCTGGGGGTGGCTCGGGTGGCAGCTGGTCGCCTTCCTCCGCTCGGCCTTTTCCTCAGAGGGGTAGAGATGAACCCCAGGGAGTGTTTGGGGCTGTGGTAGAAAGCTGAACCCCGGAAGGCAGCGGGGGGTCGTGGGTGTGACGGATCCACTGGTGAGGCTGGACCCGGGGCTGCAGCAATAATTCTGGGTTGATGTTGTGACTTTGGAGGTCTGGAGTCTTGACCTGTAGGACTGAACTGACTGGACGTTAGAGGACGGGGGTTGAACGATAACGCACGCCGGGTTCTTCTGATCGTTCCAAAAAGTCCAAAGTTTCTTCCAGGAGTTTTATGAAGGTCAACCACCAGATGTTTGGGCCTTGGAGAATTGGGGAACTTTGCAGGACTCCTCTCCACTGTTGGGTTGCAGCATCAAAGGAGGAAGCATTGCAGTGAAAAAGCAGGTTAGATCAAATACATAAATGCATTTCCAAGCAAAAGAAATACCTGCAAAGTACATTAACGACATAATGACATAAACCAAGACCACCTGAAACCAGAAATTTTGCCAGTTGATCCATGAATCACATGCATGATTTAAAGTTTATTAAACCGTAGAGCAATAAAGAACACAGAAGGTATGAAAAGGTTGGATAGAAACTCAGAACCCAAGGAGTTTATTCAAGAAGCTAAACAGGACATGCAGTCGGTTTGTTACCCAGAGGAGAAACATCGGCTTCGTTAGTCGATTGTTGGTTGGTGGTTAGAAACGGCAGCTGGAGAGTCGTTCCTGGAAGAGGTTCAGGTGAAGAAACGAAGGAAGGAACTACAGAAAAGAGGGTGGTTAAAAGATAAAGAAGTGCAGGAAGATGAAATTATTAAATATGTGATGTGATTGAAAATGAAGTCAGTAAATTTACAGAAACGAGGCAGCATGTCTGAAAAACAATGTTCCTCCAGAACCTGGAGGAATTTGAAAGCTGCTCAGGTTTCAGTTATTATGGAAACAAAGTTTTGATTTAATGTGTTTCTCTAATGAATCTTCAACATAATAAAATGATCAAATTTCTCAAAAATAAATCTATAAAAGATTTATATTTTATCTTGTTAGTTGATGAAAACGATTGGAAATAGTTGCTTCATCCATCATTCAGTTCATCCATCTCTACAAAAATCCACTGAGCAGAAAAATGTGTTTTAATATGAAAACAGGAACTGAGTTTTATAGAAAAGATTTCATTACCTGCTGCTAAATGTTTGAAGGATTAAATATTGAATCAAAATAAGTAAAAATGAAGTTTGACATCATTTTAGGTGCAATTAAAACATGCAGGATGTTAGTGGAATTAAACAAGTTTTGCTAAAGTACTAAGAAGTAAAAGTAACATTATGCATAAATGTTATTGTTTCCAGTGCAAACTGGACAGTAATAATAATGTTTTTTAGAGTAGAAACTGAAAAGTGTCTTCACAGGATGTGGAAACTTTCATGGTTCAGGTCAGAATAATCTTCATATCAGACAAAGAAAACACAAAATGCATGTTTAGAAATGAAGTAATTGTCTGTCTGGACCAACCTGGTCGATCATCAACAGGTTTGGAAACAGGAAATGAGTTTGCCACATTACTGTGCAGGGATTTTGGATGACATTTGAGAAATTCTGGCTCCGAACTTTGATTAAGCCACTTTTGAAACTATTGAAATGGATCATTGCAATGATACAAAATATAAGTTTAGGGCCACAATGTGATACACAGAGATCATCCTTCAGGGTTTTCTGCTAAAGATCAAAATTCATGATTCCATTAATTAAAGGCAGCAGTTCATCCCCAGACCACCATGCCTCTACCGCCGTGTTTTACTGTTAGCATGATCTTTATCTGGTAGACAAACTGTTAGTTTTCTGTTGTATTGAACCAGCTGCTGATGTTTTAGGTGAATGTCAGACGGGTTTCAAGTCGACCGGGTGTGACGACTGCAGAAAAGCCAAATGTAGCTCAGCTTTTCAACAGGCAGCCTTTCCTCTCGAAGGTTTTACAAAATGGAACAAACTCCCAGAAAGTCTTAAACTTTCCACTAACCTGAAACACTTTTCTTGTAAAGTCAGGAAATGACTGTTAGAAAACCAGCAGGTTTCGTGACATTAATGATCACAGAGCAGAAATCTGGCATTTAGCAATATTTATAATGAAATTTGATGACCTCATACAGTGATCGTATGGAGGGAATATAGAGACTCAATGTATGTTTTATGGTATTTTACTGTTTTATTGACTCACCAAATGGAAACTGGCTTTAGCTAAATCTGGTGAAAAGAATCATTCATTCATGTTTTGTTGCACAATTTCCCTGTTTAAAATAAACTAATACAATTAAAATAACATTTTATCATTGTCCCTGCAGTCAGAAAGGTTATATTTATTGATTTGTTGATTCAGGCAGTTTTCTGATCAGATTGTGAAAACAGATTATAATTAAATCCATTTTCTCAAAGGTCCAGGTTTGAGAAAGTTTTAAATCCCAGAACCTGTTCACAGGACTTTATTGTGCATTATTTGTGCAGACAGTTTGGTGCTAATGTTGCTCTTACCAAGCGCTGTGCGGTTAGTTTCTGCATGGTTAGTGCTAGCAGGTGAAACGGCTGCAGTGATGCTGGTTGTCTGTTCAGCTACAGGGAAGTAAAACGATCACAGCAGGTTAGTCTCCTCCACTCACACTACAGTGTTGGTGCTGCTATGAAACTGTGAGAAAACTATTTATTTGTTCATGTCAGTGAGGTTTTAATGTTTTCATGTTGCAGTCAGTCAGTGACGTTATATTGATGGATGCTGCTGCTGATGAGGCCATCTACCTTACCAGGTGTGCTGCTGGCTGAAGCAATGGGAGCAGTGGTGGATGAAGGTGAAGTAGCGGTGGTGGTGATGGAGACAGAAGCTGATTAGCAACAACATGGAGGCATGTGAGTGACAGAAATCACAGAACCAGCAAACTGGGTTAAAGCAGCAGGAGTCTTTCTGAACTCTGATGAAAGAAACCAATCAGTTCTTTTAGTTTTTGCACCAGGACATAAAATGATTTGATTTTTAGGAAGAACATTTTGAAATTAAACATACATTAAGTGAAAAGAAAACGATGTGTTTTGGTTTTCTCCAGATCATTTCAGATGAGGCAAAGCTAAGTTTAGTTTCTGTAGTCCAGACTAAATGGTATGGGGAGGAAAACTAAACTAATAATTTGGGTTATTTAGCCTGCAAAGAAAAAGATGTGGGCTCAGTTTTTATTATTTTTTCACCATGTTGTTAATTTATTTATATTACAGTCTGGAATAAATAAAAGCTTCAAAAATATTTAATTAGCAAGAAAAATACTTAGATGTTAGTTGGTTAGCAGTTAGCTTGAGGTTGAATATTCAGCCAGTGAGCTAAATATAAAACATATAGTTCGACTAAATATTTAGACTGTGAGCTAAATGAAGGACAATATTAGGCTAAATATTCAGTTTGAAGTTGAGTGTTTCACAGCAGGTTAATATTTTTAGCTTCAACTAAATATTTACTTTCAGTTAGCAAGCTTGCTTCATAAATATTTAGTTCATAAATGAAACGCATTATATTTAAAAATGAATAAACAATATGGTGAAAATATAACTGAGCAATGAACCTTTTTTTTATGTTGATAAAGGCAGAGTAATTTTTAACTGTGCAGCTTTAAAAACGATTCCACATAAATGAGAATAATTATGTCCTGATCCAAAACATCCAATAAGCAAAAACTGACCTGGCAAACAATGAGGCAGCCAAGCAGATGAAGGCTTACCAGAGGATGAGGAGGAGCTGGAAGAGCTGCTGGTGCTAAAGCTGCTGGTGCTAAAGCTGCTGGTGCTGATGGTTGGGGTTAGAGGCATGCTAGGGGTGGAGATGGGAGGAGGGAAGGCTGGAGATGACAAATGATGCTGGTTAACACATTTTCACTAAAGGGTTAGAAAGAGACCGTTTCTCTAAATCAACTGAAGGAGAACGACAGAAACTGGGTCTAAAACTGAGAAGACACCAAGAATATAAAAAACAAGAATGAAAGGATAGGAACGAATGAGTAGGAAGGTAGAAAGAAGAAGAGGAAGGCAGAATGAGGGAGGATGAGGTTTGCTTACCGTGGAAGATGGCGTTAGTATCATGGCTGGTGTTAGTGGAGTCAGTGGATGAGGTGGTGGGAGAGGAAGCAGCTGGTGGAAGTACAGACGTTTGGATGAAACAGAGAAAGATGCAGTGGATGATAAACGTGATGCAAAAGGAGATTGACAATGTCCCAAAACGGAGCAAGTCGTTACCGTCCTCAGAAGTCAAATCCTCCTGAAACTAACAAAAAGTTTCTTTAAATGCTCTTAACTGCTCTGCTGTTTCCATGAAACTACTGGAACCAGAAGAAGACAGCAGAAAGAAAAGAGGAGCAGTCAGCAGTGTGACACTGCACTGATGGTGGCGCCATTTCCCAACTGAAAACATCAAAATGCAACAACCAGAACTGCAAAGGTACAAAATGATGAAGAGGCAAAAAAAACAAAAAAAAAAAAACAAGCGACTGCAGTGAAAACAGCAGCAGAAACGTCATGAGATATAAACCCCTGCAGACCCCATCCATCCACACACACACACACACACACACACACACACACACACACAACACACACACACACACACACACACACACACACACACACACACACACACACACACGCACACCACCACCACACACACACCCACCCACCCACACACACACTTTTAATTCCTTTGTATGTTACTGAATTGATTTAAAGACATCAACCTAACCGCCTTATTTTTTGGATCCTGACAGAATCAACAAATGCACAGGGAGAAAATAAAAACTTATTGATTTCTACAAAATGCTTGTTTTTTTTTTAAAGCAAATATTAGAAGTGAAAGTTCAGTTCAGCTCAAATGTTTTAATTCCTCCAGGTAGGCTGAGGTTTACAGTCAAAATTCTCAACACTTTTACATGTTTTTACTATTTTTTGACAGACTTGTGATTCTTTTACGATAAGAAACAAACTTCAAGATCAGCAGGGCTCTGGATATTTTGGGCTGAACTGCATTTCCTCCCATTAAGAGAGGCATTAATGCCTTTCCAAAGGTCAGAGGTCAGAAAAAGTTTGTGATTTGGGAAAAGTAGGAGCTCAACATGAAAGTCGAGCTTAGAAAGTTTTTCTAAAGACGTCCAGTCAGCAGTTTCCTGGACGATCGCATTCCTGACAGTAAGGTTCATCTGAGGTTTTTGTTCCAGTTTATGTTCCAGGGACTTTCTTAAGCATAGACAATGGAAAGTTGAGCAAATTTGAAGCTGCTTGGGTTGAGGGTTTGAATCCCTCTGATTCCACCTTTACAGATGAACATGATACCAAAGACATTCTCAAAAATACAGGATCCACTTCCTGTGTGATTCCCAAAAATAGACACAGCTATAGTAAAATCTGAACAAACGGTGAACTCTTAAAAACTTTAAAACTCCTTTAATATTTAAAAAAAATATATAAATAAATCTAGATAAAATTAATATTTGTCGTCTTCATAACCTGAAATTTCAATGAAAGACTCATGGAAACATGTCGCCTTGTGTTGCACATGTGAAACACAGGAAACTTGGCAACGTGGGTAAATATGTGAAAAGTTTTCTTTTTCTATTTCACGTGACACACACAGTGTTTGACGTTCTTAGATAATAAAAGATGCCAAATGAATACTGTTGACCATGATGGTTATTAAATATTTGCCACATTGATTAATTTATCGAGCCATTTATTTATTTTTATTTATTTTGGACAAGTTGTGAAAAGGAAAACGGTTCTAATTAAGTCAGAATCTATTCTGCATTTTTAATGAAACCCTTCTGATTAAACAAACAAACAAATGAATAAATACATTTCCCATATAAAATAAAATGATAAAAAAAATGTCAAGATTTAAGGTTCTTAATTCCAGCAGAAGCATTGGAGGTGCGTTTGGTTTTCCTACCTGAACAGCCCAGTGCGCCCGAGTCGCAGCCTGTAGCCGGGTTGGAACCTGAAGGAAACAAACGGTTCAGAGTAACTTGGTGATTGATCCAACAAGGAAAGGAGGCGTTCACCTGGACTGAAGTGAAAGAATGAACAAATAAAGTTCATATAAGAAATTTACAAAGAGCTGTTAACCTTTAACTGAGCAACTCCATTGAAGAACAAACAACGCTAAGCTAAAGCAAAACACAAATGACAAAAAAATGAAAAAAAATCTTGGTTGTTCACATCAGTCCAGTTTCACTTTTTGACCTGGTATGTAAAAAACAAAACAAAAACAACAAAACAAGCGATGATTAAATGTCAGTATTGATTTTATTATGTATCAATCCCTTTTACACACCGTCTGCCAATAAGAAGCCACCATATTGATGGGAGGTTGGGAAAGTCATGCAGACAGATCAGTTTGGATCAGAGCTTATTGTCAAGTTTATCTGAACCTGCAGGAGGCAGAACAGGGAACATCTGAGCAAATGCTGTGAAACTCTTCACTGCTTTTAAAGTTTGTGGTGAAGAACAAACTCTAACTTTTTTCTTTTCTCACAGGAGCATCATGGAGACCAAACTCTGGGCTCCTCTTGTTCTTTAGCTTTCTGAATTTTAATGCAGCTGCAGCCCACACATCGGGCGCTTCATCCACAGAAACGTCAGAGGGAGGACAGGCAGCCGCTCAGAGTGGAGACTGTTCCACACGTAGACAGTTTCATCATTGGATGGTTGTCAAAGCAAGTTGCTGTGAGCACAAAACTATCCTGCCTGCCTGCCTGCTGATTTTCTAAATAAAAAAAGAGACAAGATCCGTTTTCTTGGAATTACAGTTGTATATAAAATGATCCAACAAACAACCAATTATGCCAGTCTTACAGAAATCAGATTTATACAAACTGTAAAGCTGAGGCACATTTCAATGAAATCCCATCCAATAAGCAACACTACAGCGTTGAATGTCAGAAAAAATGTGAAAAACTATTAAAGGTTCTTATTCAGTTACTCTTTAGTTCCTGGTTCTGTCAAAAACAAACCAGAGGAGACAGAAAAGTTGTTTACACATGTGACAGTCCTGCAGACCCAGTTTGACTGGGAGCCAAAGTTTCAGTATTTGTTACATTTGCATTGTGGTGTGTTTCACTGTACCACTGCTCTGAGTCAAACCAACCAAACCAGAACCAGAACCTGTTCACTTTCTCTCCTGTGGTGGCGCTGCACCAACAACCACTGCAGAAAACGACGTGAAAACCTCTGAAGAAGACACATATGGAAACAAATGGAGTCGCCCGGCACTGTAGTCTGCTTCCTGCTTTCTCCGGTCCGCTTGGCGTTCACATTCAAACCGCACCAGAGTTCACTTCAACCAAACCAACTCCTAGATTTATAGGCAGACCAGAGGTTTTGCTTTCCGGTCCTCTTTTGGTTATGCATTCACACTCTTGCAAAAATAGTTTGGCTGCCTGGGATACAAGTTCTAGGCAACTCTAGTTCTAGTCTCGATCTAGAACTAGAGTTGCCTAGAACTTGAATTCAAAGTACAGTTTGATTAAAGCAGACTAAACATATCTGGTGGAAATGAACCGTAAAACACTCAACCTGGAACAAAATAAGATGATCAGGATTTTAATGGTCATAATAGATGCTTACAGAGTCATACCTGACTTACCGCAGACGTTCAAATGAAAACAGTTTTGACATTTTCTAGTAAAATGTTAATATTATTGCATTTCCAGTGCCCATATTGACATTTAAATACATCTTAGTGAAACTATTTAGATGTTATTTGGGAAGTCCTGGATACAATTTTGGTGACGATACCAAATATACATTTATTTTAACGTTGCAGTGGATCCTTGCATATTCATGCAGTTTTCTGTTGAATGCAACTACAAATGATTTGCAGAACATTTATACATTGCAGATTCCTTCAGAGAGCAAAACACCCAAAAGAAAAATCTAATTGGGAAACTGAATTGCCAATGCAACCTGATGCTATAGGCTGGCATTTGGAAAGCAGTCGATCCTACAGTGCATTTTATCTTCCTGATTGGAGAAGACAGGGGAGATGTTGATATGGTGTTGGTTTCCACAGAGTGTATTAAAGTGCATTTAGTTTCTGAACTACTAAAAAAAGCAGTTTTAAGTGTTTTCAGAAGGAATATCAAGTATTCGCAGTATTGTGGTCCATAAACCCTGGAATACTGGGGGCCACTGTATTTCAATATAGATAATTGGGAGTACAATTAGATTTAAATGCACCATGAAGTTGAAACAGCCATAAAAATCTGTGTACAAGTGTGAGCAGGGAGGAAAAGCATCTTTATGGGACCCCATGTTGAACACAAGCCATGAAAATTGGTTCTGATTGGACCCGGCCATTTCTAATAAGCTCCACAGTCCAGAACTGAAGGCCAAAAAAGTCAAAATTCCTCAACCATGCGACTGCAGCGGCCATTAAAAGTGGCATTTTGTGTAGAGAATCACTCAAAATGTTTGTTAGGTCGAAGTAATTAATAACAATAATTGATAAACTTGTCATTTATCCTTGTTTTGTGTTAATATTGAGGTCTGGCGGGTTTGAGGTTTGTTAAAGCAACAACACCAACAGAGAGTCACAGCTGCTTTTATTTAATACGGTTGATGACCTCAGAGCTCAGAGTTGGAGAAAAACGGTGCAGAGGAGGCCGGCCAACAGCAGCAGCTATAAAACCTCCATCACAGTCAAACTGAAAATGACAGAGTTATAAAGTCTGGGAGATTACCTGACTAACACCCCCGGCTTCAAACCGGACCGTAACTCTCTGCTCTGATCCCATCTGAGACGTTCAAACAATCCAGATGAAAACAGAGGATTTCACTTTGGTTTTCACAAACTCTCCTTGTCCAGAGAGCCGTTTCACAGCTCAAAGCTGCAGAGTCTCTGCAGGAGATGATTTAGCCCAGAAATATCAGAGGAATAAAAGCAGAGGCTTAAAAACGGGGACAGAATGCAAGCAGGATGAAACTGCCATCATTTTGGGGATTTTGAGCATCTATACAAAGTGTTCTAATTATGAATTTATTTATTTTCTAAATGTTTTAACGACAGTAACAGCTGTCATCTGCTTTGGTTCTGGTCAGTTAGGACATGAACAAATATTCACATTCATCAAATGAAATTAAAGCACTAAAGACTTTTTAGGGCTTTTCTTTCCTCGTTCATATTCAAATTATTCCACATAGATATTTAAATTATTCCATATAGATCCACAGTATAGCTTAGACTTGCTTTCTTAAACCAACGATTAATTTTCTCTTTTCATGCTTTAACTAACTTTGAAAGCATTAAGCACCTTTAGCTTCCCCTAATTATTCTCTGCTTAAAGTGCTAATTCACTTGGCTGTAAACTATTAGTTGTGTTGAAGTTTTGATTATCGAGTGAAGACAAAGTTTTATTTCCTCTCCTCCCATCCTGAAGTGAAATTGTACAGGTAGGTAATTAATGACAAATATGTAGCTCTTATTGCGTTATTGACATGGTTAGGGTTAGTGCTTTAGAATTAGCTTCTGCTAAATACCATGTTGGTTTAGCATTAGGGGAACCAATGTTTATAATTAGTGCTTTAGCTTTAGCACTGCTAACATTTTTAGCAAATGTTTGCACAAGATTTCTGTAATTTTGTCTCAGTCGCCACATTTACAGGACAAGTTTCACTGCCACAAAAATACCACAAAAATAAAATAGTTTTACAAATAAGTGTCAAATTATAGCAATTATGAAACTAATAAGTAAAAGATTTTATAAATACAAAAATAATCAGTAAATCTTGAAATAAATGAAATGTAAAAAAAATAATCTTCCCATCAAATGAGTATTTTGGATCTATTTTGTTTTTATTTCATGTGGACATTTATTGAATATTCATAAATGTAATAATTTATTGAATTATCACATTATGAATGACATGGCTCTGCATGCCAGTTACTCTAAGATTGTCTTATTCATTAGGATTTCTGTTGGGATTTATGATATAATTCCTGGAGCTCATCCTCTCATTATAGTTTCATATAATTGTGGAGTTTTTCATCTAAACTGTGTCAAAGTCCAGGGTGTTCCAGTGAAACTCAGGATTTAAATGATTTAAGTCAGTCGAATGTTGATGGAAGGAAGCAAAGAGCATGAAGCTGATTGTATCTTTGTAAAAAATCAAAATGTGAACTAGAGGCTCCTTCTGTGGCCACCTCATAAATATCCAATGAGCTCAGCTCCACCTTTGCTCAGAGACGACCTTCAGATTTCCGTCAGACACGGAGATCAGGAACCGTCTTGAAGTGGCTGACAGCAGCGGAGCGGCTGACTGACAGCCCCCTGGTGCTGCCCTGACAACCGCAGGGTGGATGTACCGAAGCTGTGCGTCAGCCTGACGCTCTGACTGACACTGTAAACAGGGAGCTGCAGCAAACACAGTCTGACAGGCGCTCGTCAAATCAGGTGAAGCCTGGAGAGAAGCTGTTCAGAGGAGGCTTTTCTGCTGCTGAGCCTAAAGGAGAATGTGTATCAAAAAGGCAGGCAGTCCTCTGAAGACGCAGAGTCCACTGACTGTGACTGTCCCACTGTCCACTGACTGACTGACTGTCCACTCACTCTGTCCACTGACTGACTGACTGTCCACTCACTCTGTCCACTGACTGACTGACTGTCACTCACTGTGTCCACTGACTGACTGTCCACTCACTCTGTCCACTGACTGACTGTCCACTCACTCTGTCCACTGACTGACTGTCCACTCACTCTGTCCACTGACTGACTGACTGTCCACTCACTCTGTCCACTGACTGACTGACTGTCCACTCAGTCAGTGGACTCAGTGGACAGTCAGTCCACTGAGTGAACGGAAAAGTCTGTTTTAAGATGACTGCTTCCAATAATAATCTGTCCAAAGCAACCTGTGAAACGATAAATCACGAGGCTTTATGTTTCTCTGCACTGTAAAAACTTACTATGTGTGTTTGGTTTAGTTTCTAGTGCAAATATCTTATCATTCTTGAAATGAGACAAATCTAACTCACAAGTGACTATTCAGCAAAATATCGGAGTTTGTTTTAAGCAAATAATTCCTTAATACTGAAAAGTAAGAATTCTACTGGAAGTTTATGTCACTAATAAAATATTTTCTCCATGTCTTTTTTTAACGAAGGTGGTAAATTCAGTCTCTATACATTCAATACAGAGAGACATGCAGATTCTCCAGGAACTGAATAGTGACAATAAAAACATTTAATGTTATTTATCATTCCACCTTCCCGTTATTGTGACAATTTATGAAATTAAAACTCAGTGCATGATGCACCGAGTTAATGGCAGAACATCTGTTAGTGATTTTGCCTGTTTCTTCTCTTCTCAGTGATCTGAACCCAGATTTATGGCTCATACGGTTCTGGAGCTGCTCTCACTTTGACCTTGATTTGACCTGCATCTTAACGCCGTTCCCCCCCAGCAGCTCAAAGACGTCTCCATCATACAGATTTATTCATTTACGTAATCAGACTCACACGGCTAAAAGCGAAAGGTTTAATCTCAGCACATGATGTTAGTGAATGAGTTTTGTGCTCTTGCTGATAGGCATTTTCAGACTGACATCACATTTTCAGATTCCTCCATTTTCTCCATGCTTTAAAGCTCTGTTAGCACAAGCTATGCATATTAGAAGCATGTTAGCATCACTCACCACTAGTGGGCGCAGCAGCAGTTAAATGAATGCAATGAGGGTAGCAGACTGTGAAAAGAAGAAAAGGTTAGTGAGCAACAGGTAAAACAAGAATTATTCAACATCATAATATGTTTAGTAATAAACCTTCATTTAAAGAGTATAAATATTTATTTTCATTCTAAACCCAAAGCAGAATTTCCCACAATATCAGTTTTTTCTAGACTTTTTTCCAGAAATTTACAGCAGATCTATGTTATATATATTTACAGTAATCAACATGTTTTTATATCTATGCTGGAAAGATTTGAAAAACCACCAGAACAAACTGGGATCAAACTATCGTCCATTTCAGCAATTAGTTGATGGTTTAAAACCACAGGGTTCAATGTGTTGTAGTGGTTGGAGTCTTCAGTTAATCCTGCATCCAAAGGCTCATTAAGTCCTTAATAACTGGTGCAAAAATCGCTGCATGTTTCAAATGCAAAGGGCAGAACTTTGCTTAGGCAGCAGAACTGAAGGACCCGGTTCTGCTGCAGTAGTTTTAGGGACAAACCTAGAAAAACATTTAACTCAATCGCCGTAATTTATTCCCATAAGAAGCAAATACTGTTACTTTGATATGGAATTAAAAAAGCAAGCAAGAAAGGAAGAAAATAATGAACAAAGCAGAGAAATAAGAAATATAAAATGGGAAGAAAAATGGGAAACGAGGACAAAAGGAAAAAAATAGGCAATTAGTGTTAACAGCAATGAGGTAAGAAAAATATGTGCAGAAAGAAATAAAGAAGAAAGTCAGAAATGAGCAAAGCAGAGAAGAAAGGAAGGAAGAAAGAAACAGAATGAAAACTAGGAAGAAAGGCAAGAAGGAAGCAGGGAAGGAAGGAAAACTAGAAAATGACAGAAGAATTGAAGGAGGGAGGGAAGGAAAGAATCAATCAGAACAATCGATTGTAGCAAATTTTAAGACTGATATGATGTGAGGAGTCAAGATCAGAGGCGTGTCCTCAAGTAAAAAAAAACTTGCCTGGTGGATCCATGCAGGGACTGGGTTCCCCATTAATTAACAGCATGGACTGGTCAAACATGAAGTGTTACATCAAATGCTAGCAGATTTTAACAGTTCAAACAAGCTCATCAGGGTGGAGGGAACAGAAAATCTCAGTTAGAGGAAACCCAAAACAAGCAGAGGCTGATTTGGGAACCCCAGGAATTAAGCTCTGTCAGCACCTTGTAAAATTACAAACATGTGGAAGTTAGGAGAAAATTACCTTCAAGTTTGCTTGTATTTTCCTGTATTTAAATGAAAGTTAAAGTGTGTGCAGGACAATTTAGAATCTCACGATGGAGACATCCAAAACTGCTCCATAAACATAGACCTCCATTCTTTCCTGCATGCACAGCTGGCCGGAGAAAAAGCCCACTGTGGCTCCACACTCATTCACAGTTCTCTATAAACCCACACCTTGGCTTGTACATCTCTGGATGTGTCTGTGTGCATAATGCATTTTACTGCTACTGTGGGTACAGCATACAGTGAAAGAGTGAATAAATCAGCACACCGTGTCCCTCTTGAGCTGCTCCACAGTTCATGTTGGGAACTGTGGAAGAACTTCTCCAACTGAGCCAAACAAACCCAGACTCAAAGTGAAGTCTGGTCCTGAGCCAGCCAGCTTACTGGAAACCATTAACTCACCATGTGAAGGCAGAATCTTGCAGGATTTGGCAGAAATCTGCAACAGCCTGAATAGTTTAACACTTTGAGTTCCTGTTTGATACAATCCAATGTTCTGCATTTGGACCTGATGATACCAGCGATGTGATCTGATGCCACACCACCTTCCATGTTGTCTCCTGTTTGGCTAATAGTCCATTTTCTCTTGCTTATTATTGTATAAGACATTCAGGATGATTTTGTTTACAAGTTGCTCACAAGGCAGAGTTGGACTTTGCCTTCATCAATTGACATTTGAATCCTTCAGCTGTTTATTTTTGATCAAGGAAACCAAAAATAGTGCAATAGCAGCTCTGGAGGACCAAACTTGGGCAGCCATATTCTACATAAAAAACAACAGATACACAAAATTATACATATGAAGCCATCAGAAGGTTGTGTCAGTCAAAGTTGAATATTTATTTACAGCTCTGTGTGATGATGGGCTTCCACAGAAAAGTGGAGAATCACCAGAGACGCTTGCAAGTCATTTTTTCCAAAGTACCAAGTACAAGTCAAAACACAATTCTTTCAGGGTCCAGTTCAGATCAAGTTCAAATCAAGTCTCAAGTCTTTGAAGAGCAAATTCCAGTCAAGCCTCAAGTTTTTAAAGGACTAGTTCAAGTCAAGACGAGAGTCTCCGAGGGGGAAGTCCAAGTTGAGTCTACAGGGCACAAGACTGAGTCGAGTCTGAAGTCATTTAATTTTTGTGACTCAAGTCTCAAACTCAAGTCAGCATCTTTGGAGCCGATTACAGCAATCAGTGACCAGATTCATTCAAGACAAACATCTGGCACCTTCTGCTACAGGTGAGCTGATTACCTTATGTAATCCACCTTCATAACTTTTACCTTTTGTTGCACAAGTCCACTTTAACAGTTTAGCTGCAGTTACATTGAGCAATGCCTTCTACTTATTTTTCATATTTATATTTAAAAAAGAATTTGATTTATTTCAAACCTAACACTCAGCTCTTCACATTCATCTTTAGCTACTTGGACCCTACTTTTCAGAGTTCTCATGCCCAGCACCAAAACCAGATAAAGATGATAAAGTTTACTCACTGCAGCTAAGTGTGTTGTCAGTCTGAGCAAGAGAGGACGAGATGCTCCACTGGCTGTTGTCCCAGTCGATGGTGTTTCCCACCATGTCGCAGGTCAAGCTGCTGAGCTCCTGGACCGTCATGGCACGATTCCACAGGCGCAGGTTGTAAATATTCCCTTTGAAACTCTGCTGCCCTAAGCCTGAACAAAAATGCAAAGAGTTCATAGTGAACATCATGTTTAACATCATTTAACATTTTTAAATGAGCCTGGATGTCATCACACTCCAGAAAGTCTCCAAAACGATAAGGAGAGCATTCCACTCCAAAGGACCAGGAATGTGTTCACCCTATGAAATAACAAAATGGATTCAAAATAGCTGCTTGTTTCAGGGCTGTGGCAGGAAAGCTTTTTCTGCCCTACCATCACAAACATGGACAACAGGGTTTCCCAACATGTTATATTAGAAATTGTTGAAATTAAACTAAGATTAAGCTTTTCGTTAGCAAGATTCAAGGAGTGAACTAAAGGATGAATAGTCGTTAAGGCACTTCATGATTAATTACAGAGGGAAATCTGTCCTGTGGGCTGGTTTCTCTTTCTAGGGATCAAGTGTCAGACATCATTATCAGGACATAAGTGAAAATGCTGGATCTTAGCCAGTAATGATCCAACAAATTACAGCAAAAATGGTTCATTGACACAAAGTTTGTGTGTAATTACCTAAAATACCTTCATGTGGGGAATTCAGAGGACTTGATGCATGAAGCTAGTTTATCAATCTTTTATAATTGAATTGTTTGGAATCTTTTACAATGATTTTTATTTTATTAACTCTCATCAGATTTATAGGGTGTTACTACAGACTCTGTCATTTTGACCAAGAAGTCCTCAATGGTCATCACTGCATATAGACTGTTAGATTAATAAGTAGGGGCCCCTTACCTCCCAATTTGAAGACTCCTCCCGCTGGCACAGAGTGGCCACTAGATGGCGAGCAGGTTTTCCCATAGTAGCGCCTGTTGAAGTAAACAGCCACACGGCTGTTTGAGGACATCCAGAGGACACAGAAGAACTTCATGGAAGAGGTGAACTCAGCAGCAGGGATGATTGACTCCACCGGGCAGACCACGCCGTCAATAACCATCTCCATGCCCGTCTGATTGTTGCCAAAGCTCAACGCCACATTGTTGTTGATGTCGAAGTAGGTGAAGAGCCACTCTTTCTGTTCAGGAACCAGAAGAACTGGGAGTAAGTTGAAAGCAACACTGGAACAAGACAGTTTAAAAGCACAAATTGACAAAAGTCTTCTTTCATGACATCTTGCCCAGTTTAATCAGCCGATGATGAATAATGGTTCCTAAGAAAGAACAATCTCAGGGATTCTGCAGTAGTACTGGATGCCTTGGTTGTTAAAACCACAGCAAGTGGTTTGAATGGACAAACCATTGGATACTAGATGTAGCTGAGCCACATCTTCCCTAAATGTCTGACATTATCTACCTATAAGGCAAGAAATGAATGAGTAAGACTCTGTCATCCTTCATCTGAAGAGTCAAAATTATCTTTCATTGATGTGGACAAATGACAAAATACTTTATCATCTTGGTAAAAGAGGAATTACACACATTCGTGTAATTCTTTGCCAAACATGCACCAATTTTGTTAAATAGCTAAAACGACTGGATGGAAATGAAAGTTGTTGTCCAAGCAGGAGCCTGTCTGCAAAGAGGCGTGGCGCTCTCTTCCTGAAATCTGGTTACAGCAAAGCAGGAGACGCAGGGATGGAGGTTTGGTGTTGATGTATTCTCACACACTTAAAACATCAAAATGGTGGACATGCAGGGAAAAACTTTTAAACCAGCACCTGACCGGAGCCTGTTCTTTCCACCTCAAAGCAAATGGTCAATTCATTGAGCGCCGGTATGGAAACGGAGTTGATGACTTCAGCGATTTGTCCGTTACCGTTTGGGATTTTCACCTTTTGGTTCCTCAAAGCCACGGCGACTGAAGGGACGAAGCAGAGAAACAAACCAAAAACAGTGAAACAGGAGTAAAGAAAACGGTGATTTTTTTTTTCTTATCCAAATATGCAAAAAAATAGGATGAATAAAGAACAAAAGTTTTTTTAGACTTAACACATCAACATCTTTGGGTTTTATCTCATTGACTTGAAAAGGAACTAAAAAAAAGTCCATCATAAACTGGCCAAATCAGCTGACAAACCTCAAATGAGGCATCTTAAAGAAATCAGCATTTCAACCAGTCCTAAAGCTCCTGTCTGATACATGTGGCGCATTTCCACCTGGATTAGTTTGCAAGTCATAGCGAGAACCTACCGTGTTGGAAGCTAACCATGAAGCCCTTCTTCTGTATGGTGAAGTCAGAGATGAAAGAAACCTCCATCACGTTCCTCGTCGAGTTTAGTGTCAAACCACCGGCCGTCAGACCACAAAACGGTAATTCAGAGCTACCGGTTTTCACCACGACTCGGTCATACATGCAGTTCCGTGCCTCTTCCAATTCAAAGTCCAAGAAGGAGAGTTGGATGATGAAGCCGGTCGGCGCTTGCATGGTCCACTTACAGGTCTGAGAGTTGGGGTAGTTCCCAGGGTAGCAGGGTGACGTGAACTCGCCCTGGGCCTCAGTCAGCACCATGTTACAGTTTATGGAGCTGCAGCCCAGAACTGGAGCTGATGGTGGGATAAAGCCAGTGAGTCAAACCTCCAGTTACATAACTGATGACATTAGGACAGGACAAAGGAAGACGGGACGGAGAGGAGACCAGAACAAAAACGAGAGACGAGGCAAACATCAACTTCAGTTAGGTAAAGTTATCAAGGCTGGATCAGCAGTAAAGAGTGAATGAGGAAAAGTTTCCAAGAAGGACTTCAGAGATCCATGCAACAAACGAAGGATTCTTTCAAGAGTTGAGCAAGAAACCCAAGAAAGATTGTGTAGAAGTCCTGAAATGAGGAGAAAACACGCCCACACTGGGAGATGTTGTTCTGTTAAAGAAAAGTTCAGCAGCCCAAAGAAAATCAATAGGAGATTGATTGATCAACAGCCAGAGAATTGTCTGGGATTTTTCAATTGTTTTAGGGAAATTTTGATGTGCCAAAAATCACATTGGCTGTGCTCCAACTTTCTGAACGATGGAGCAACATGAGCATCAAAATGCAGGACTTGTTCTCACATTGGATCCGTTTCCATCAGGACAGAAAAGAGATGGAGGATTTTTCACAATGAAGTCGTAATGTTCAAGTCACATGTTCTTACCTTTAACAGTGTTTTTACAGAAATAACATTTAATTAATACAGTTTGTTAGAAAACATTTTTATTTCCCCTAAAGCCTTTTTTAGATGAGAAATATTAACGGAAATGAATTGATAATGTTACCAAAATGTAATAAATTTACTCAGAAGATTGGATTTCTCTAAATAAAACTAGAATAAAAACTTGAGCTGACTGAGAAAAATGGATGTCATTTTTGGATTCAGATAGAAAAACAGACAACTTCCAAAAATCCTTTTTTGTGACCCATTGTTATAATCTCTGAGCATGAATAATCCCGGGATTTGGGATGGAAGCAGAAATCATTTCCATTGGCCATAACGCCACATATTTACTGCAGCTAATAGACATGCAGGAGTTTCTCAGGGAAAAGACTGAGATGGTTTCCACTGTGTGCATAAAGGTAAATGTGTAATATTAAAAGCTGTTGTATTTTACTATTGCTATCTATTCAGCTAGAAAACTCATTATTTAGGTAATATACAAATTCACATGCGGATAAATGAACAACCAAAACAAAAACTTCCCTTTCCCACGGTGCGGCGTCTCAACAGCTGCACTTTGATGATGCTCACAGGTACATCTGGTAACTTTACTAATCAACAGATCCTGATCAATATGTTCAATTTAAATATAACGATGTTTATTCTGACCATCCATTGGCTTCACCCACTGACCCCCATTAATTAAGGAAAATGAATCCAGTTAGTTTAGTTTTATAGTGTCAATTGTTAATTTATTGAAGTGAACCAAACCCTGATTTTTATGTTAGGCTACACCCCTATAATTGACAATAATGTAGCAATAGCTTTAGTCGTTAATCAAAAATAACAGCTACTTCTCTCGGATGTTTAGTGCTCTCTAAACAGTGGAGTTTTACTCCCAGTGAAACCAACACCAACCCACCAGTGGCTGCTTTCTCAAGAACACTAATGAAAAACATGTTGGCCTTTATGGTTTTCTGAAACGGCTGGAAAAAAGGGGAGAGCTCCCCAACATGAAACAAAAAAATAGAGACACGAGCTGAAATGGAAAGTGGAAAGAATGGTTTGCCTTTCTCATGGGGAGCAACAATGGAGTCTGTTCATCGGAGGCCCGACTCTGGATGCAGCCAAACCACAGCCAACGCACTGAAAACGTCAGAAACGGCACTGAGTGTGTGTCATTTCTCTCTCTGCATGTCTGAACCCACAACCAACCTCGTACAAGACAATCTGTCTGGGGCCACATGTTCAGAAACATCCACACTGTGCAGCTTCACTTCAGGAGACTGCATTCATATCCTGCTGACAGAAGCTCCGCTGGAGAGCTTCACATGTTCACATCTTCACATGTCCACAGCTTCACATGTTCACATCTTCACATGTTCACAGCTTCACATGTCCACAGCTTCACAGCTGCTGTTTCTCACAGTGAGGCATGTTGGGCTCATCTGGACAATCAGTCACCATCAAACTTTCACAATTATGGGGCTGAACATCCAGGTAAAGGTGCAACAAACTGCATCAGTTAACTAACAACAGAAAGTTGAGTGGAAGGAAGAGCATTGAAAGGAACTAAAGATTCACAATGTGCCATCTGTGGGTTGAGTTGGTGCTTTAGGCTCCATCAAAACATGAACTCCGACTGTCAAGACGTGCATGATGCAACCATCACCGCTGCAGTCATGTGTGGGTAGTTCATGGTAATTTGCCATGATATTGTGTGGATTTTTTAATCGCTTTAACTGTGTGGTTTCTGTGGAAACAAAATGTTCCCGTGGAGGGTTTGGTTTAATAACTGGTTTTATGTTTTGTGTAGATAGTGAAGGGGGCGGGGCAAAAGCAGATGCTCCCAGTTTAACAACACATCCAGAGGAGAAGCGTCTGAATCACTAAATCACTCGGTAGAGCTATGAAGCGGAGAACTAACTTTAAACATCCGACTCACTGATGTTTGAGCACCTGATACCTGCAGAGCGACAATCAGAGCCTTCAGCTCACCTGAAACTGATTCCCTCTTTTCTTACAGTGAAAAAACTCAAAGGGGCAACATGATTCACATCCCTGTTCCCAGTTCAGCTCTCTCTCCGGCTGAACTGGGTTTGTTCAGAAGCAACACGATTCACCCAGACTGGACTCTAAAAGCTGCTTCTCTCGTTTCCTCCTGGACAACCTGACTGCCAGCGTCCAGACGAGGAGAACTGCTTTCATTCCCACAAGAACACTTTCAGGACTGACTTCTTTTATTTTCAATGCAAACACCAAAATTAGAAATATAACCGCAAAGTGATACAGAAATGTGCTCCAATAATTCGCCTCTTGATTTCAGGCCCATGCAGAGAAAGTTGAACGATGATGTGATCTCTGCATCAGATCTGGAAATCTGACCTGCTCTCCGTTTCCACTCTGTTCTTCTGACAGCCATGACATTTTTCTTTCCACAGCTGATAAAACCTGACAGACAAACCTGAGCCGCTGCACAGGTGTGGGCCTGTCGACCAATCAGGGAGTAGTACCTGCACAGAGGAAGTCCATCCATGCAAACATGGCGACTGATAAGCAAATGCTGGAATCAGTGAGAGAAGTGGTTCCCGATGAAGAATTACTCATTCTGAATGAAGTGAGGAGGTAAAAACAGGTTGACTTTATGCTGCAGCATCTTGGCTTTGCTCTCTTGTTCACTGAAACAAACAGCAGTTCAGCGACGCCTGGTCATCAGTCTGTTTGTCCTCAATATGTCAGCAATTAGCAAAATGCCTTAAACCTGAAAACCTCCATATCAAGACTCTCATCTGAAACAAACTGAACTGATGATTTCCTGATTTCATTCGTTTCTTTTTTCAGGAGAATTGCTGTCGCCTGCTAATCTGTGTGAAGCAGTTTGCTTCACAATCTTGTCAAGGGTCCAGTTGTCCCTTCTGCATCTGTGTCCTTCCACCCAACGTTAAGCAACGTCTTTTTGTGGCTGATGCTCCTTGAAGGTCATTAAAGAATCTGTAGGACACAACATGACCAGAACAACTGCAGGCTGCAGACTGGATGCTTCTGATTCAGGAATGACTAGAAACACGAAGGATGCAACAGTTGGACTTTCTTCTTCCACTTCACTTTCCTTCAGTTCGTTCTGACATTGGTTTGATGTGTCATCTTAAAATGAAACAGGAATAAATTATTTAATTAGCTCCCTTTGTAATTAATCCTCAACTCAATGCAAAGAAACGACTCCTCTTATCTGCTCATCTTCCTACGAAGCAGGACGATCCCCTTCATTTCTGAATAAATTGAATGAAGCGACACTTTTTGGACCGTTTCTCGCCTGGAGGAACATGCTGTTACCTTGACAACAGCACATCGTCAGCGCCAGCCTCGGTTCAGTGGGTCAGAAGCAGCTGGATCTTTGCAGCGCTGCTCTGTCCTCAGCTGTCAGCACTGAGGGAACGTAATGGCTGCTGGATTACAAATTTACATTTAGATGTGTGGCTGTTTCTGGCAGCTCACCCAATAATTCAATTAAATAATAATTGGGCTTTACGGTCCTCACAGTGAGTGTGATGTAAGTGGATTATGTTAAAAATACCAGGATACAAATAGATCGGCTTTATTATCAGAAAATGGGGCGAAGCCTCCAATCACCAGCAGATTGGATAATTACTTCTGTGAGGATATTTATACTCTAAAGGCCACATTCTGGGTCAGAGAAGAGGAGGGAAAATACAAGATAATAGGAATAAAACGTCAAAAAGAGCAGATGAATTTGACAGGAAAAACAGAACAGATTAGAAAATGTTGACTCAGCTTTATTTTGACAGAGACAGACTCTTATTTTGAAGTTGTTTCCTAATCAGATGCTGGAAACAGTTTATGAAGGCGGCCATTATGGAGCTTTGTTCCTGAATAGAAGAGGCAGAAAATGCCAGGATCAGGGGAACCACAGAGCGTCTTTAACCCCAGAAGAGTTTTGGGTCTTTATGATTGGGAGGCTGGTTGAGTGATTCCTGCTCTTTGAGCCGATTGGACAACAAACTGAAAAGTCAGACTGAGTCACAAAAACCAACAAACTGATGGAGGAGATCAAACTGTGGATGTTAAAGGCAAAAAAATAAAAAATGTTTCTCAATGCTGCAACATCATCACTATCAGCTGAAGCTCCTGAAGGAAAATGTCAGGAAACCATGAAGTTAATCTACGACTGGTTGAAATACAAGCAGACGGACGGATCTGGACAGGATTTGTGTTTTCAGGTCGTTTTTGCTGTTTTCACCCAAAGCAGCCGAGTAAAAATGTAGAAACTAACGGATCCGACAGACGCGACTCCTCAGAGCTCAGATGTTAGCGCCTCATTCAGCATCTCCACCTGCATCTCCGCCTGCAGCTCCACCCGCAGCTCAACCTGCATCTCCGCCTGCATCTCCACCTG